AGTGTCCGGAAATTCGTTATCAAGCCAAGTTTTTGCTTCAACTGTATTTTTTCCCTTCAAAAAGCAATATTTTATCAACACGCGAAATTCCTTTTTATCCATTTTTTTCACAATAACAAAAGTTGCTTCACTAAAAATGCTATAATTCACAAACTAATGATCCGACAGCCGTCAAATTTATAGACGCGTCTTTTGAAGGTTAGGACTAACTGAAAATCATATGGATTTAGTTCTGGTGCCGCCATTTATGTCAGGCCGGGGACTTTTCAATTGACCCTATATTTGAAATACAATGATTTTGGGATAAACCCCTAATGACACACCTATCATTAAAAGTCATTATACAAATATACAATAGAAAGGTACCTAAGATCTAATTGTTTGCAAAGTAAACAAAATAAAGTAAAAGTAACTTATTTAAATGACTAACAACCCCAATTATAAAATTACATTTAAAAGCTATAGCGAAACAATGGACATAGAACGTTGATACTCAACAGACACCTTCTCAGGCATGAAGATTACATTACTGTTCACAAATAGTTAAAGATGTGGGTTGTTCTAGTTTTGGGGAAATGCGAAGATTAGCTCAGAATAAGAAAGAATGGGGGTGCGTATCTAACCAGTCTTGGGACTAACGACCTTATAATGATGATGAACGGCCTGAAATAAAGGGGTTTTAGTTGTTTCACTAAAACAAAAAAAGGGTGCGGAACTTCCGCAACTGCCGAAGCGTAAGCAGAGGCCGGTTGCAACAACAAAATTGCATTGTACGCGGCTTATCTCAATTTTTATGAAGCTACGTACAAATTACTCATTTCCTGTTATAAAAACGTTATTTTTTGAATTGAAGCATTACTTAAGTCTATGAAAACAAAATCCAGGCTGGCTTTTTTCATTTCTGCATTCACATGGGCACTTATGTAACGCTGCAAAAATAAACTTGAACTATTTTAGGAATTTTCAACACCACTTGAAATGTAATTTTTCGGACGTAATATTTACGAGACAATACAATTGATAAAGGTTTTATCTTTTTCATCCACTATTCGTTAAAAATGACTTTGAAAATCGATAAATTTTCGAGCGTTTCAAGAGTGAAATCGCAAATACAAGTTTGATAATATGCCTACGTGTATAATAACCTAATAATAAGGTAAATTATTTTACCTTATTCACTTATAAAGTAACATAACATAACCGTTGTAATCTATTTCCATTTAACATAGAACAGATGTATCGTAGTATGTCTTGCCGGATCTATTTTGTATTGGTTGTTGTTCTTAGTTTTTATCCCAAACATTCTTTTTACATACCTACCATACAAAAGAAACTTTTTAACAAAAAAATTACACCTCCAAAAAAACTGAAAAGCAAAAAAAATTATAAACCTTTATTTAATTAACCTTATAACCAAGTTCTTCAACCAATGTAAGTAATTTTGAGTCGGCGCTAAACAATCAATAAACAAAGGTCACTAAATTACCTTAAATTTAAAGAAGTAACCATTGCATTGTTAATTTGATTAACTTACTGATCTTTGTTTATTGATTGTTTAGCGCCGACTCAAAATTGTTTAGGTAATACTTACATAAGTTTAAAAACTTAGTTATTAAGGTTAATAAAATAAAGGTTTATTATTTTTTGCTTTTCAGTTTTTTGGTCGTTTTAATTTTTTTGTTAAAAAGTTGTTATTTTATAATTTTTTGTGGCTATAATTTACTAATTATTACTACTACTATTACTATTATTTTCTTACTATAAATAATTTCCTACCTTTAGGGTTCGATTTTTTTTCCATGTTAATGGGATCTTCTTCGGGGTATATTCATTCCAATAGAAAAAGAATTATCAAAATCGGACTATTCTGTCAAAAGTTATGCGTGGTCACACATTCCAATCAGTGAGTGAACAACAATCAACAATCATTCTCTGTTTTCCTACCCTTAGGGTTGGAATTTTCTTCCAAATTTATATTGGACCAACTTCGGGGTATACCCATTCCAATAAAAACAAATTATCAAAATCAAACTATTCTCTCAGAAGTTGTGCGTGGTCATACATTACAACCAGTGAGTGAACAACAATCAACAATCATTCTCTGTTTTCCTACCCTTAGGGTTGGAATTTTCTCCTAAATTTATATGGGACCAACTTCGGGGTATACCCATTCCAATAAAAAAAGAATTATCAAAATCAAACTATTCTCTCAAAAGTTGTGCGTGGTCATTCATTACAATCAGTGAGTGAACAACAATCAACAATCATTCCCTGTTTTCCGATCCTTAGGGTTGGATTTTTTTGACAAATTTATATGGGACCAACTTCGGGGTATACCCTTTCCAATAAAAAAAGAATTATCAAAATCAAACTATTCTGTCAAAAGTTATACGTGGTCATACATTAAAATTAGTTAGTGAACAACAATCAACAATCATTCCCTGTTTTCCGATCCTTAGGGTTGGAATTTTTTAACAAATTTATATGGGACCAACTTCGGGGTATACCCATTCCAATAAAAACAAATTATCAAAATCAAACTATTCTCTCAGAAGTTGTGCGTGGTCATACATTACAATCAGTGAGTGAACAACAATCAACAATCATTCTCTGTTTTCCTACCCTTAGGGTTGGAATTTTCTTACAAATTTATATGGGACCAACTTCGGGGTATACCCATTCCAATAAAAACAAATTATCAAAATCAAACTATTCTCTCAGAAGTTGTGCGTGGTCATACATTACAATCAGTGAGTGAACAACAATCAACAATCATTCTCTGTTTTCCTACCCTTAGGGTTGGAATTTTTTTACAAATTTATATGGGACCAACTTCGGGGTATACCCACTCCAATAAAAAAAAGAATAATGAAAATCAAACTATTCTCTCAAAAGTTGTGCGTGGTCATACATTACAATCAGTGAGTGAACAACAATCAACAATCATTCTCTGTTTTCCTACCCTTAGGGTTGGAATTTTTTTACAAATTTATATGGGACCAACTTCGGGGTATACCCACTCCAATAAAAAAAAGAATAATGAAAATCAAACTATTCTCTCAAAAGTTGTGCGTGGTCATACATTACAATCAGTGAGTGAACAACAGTCAACAATCATTCCCTGTTTTCCTACCCTTAGGGTTGGAATTTTCTCCCAAATTTATATTGGACCAACTTCGGAGTACACCCTTTCCAATAAAAGAAGAATTATCAAAATCGGACTACTCTGTAGAAAGTTATGTGTGGTCATACATAAAAAAAAACTTGAAAACCTCCTCCTTTTTTTTGTCGGTTAAAAATCTGACTACATTGCAGGATTTAAATTCTCGCTCTCCGGTTGGTTGATATTCGCTGTAGTGGATGCGCTATCGTTTAATTACCAATTATATTGCGCAGATAAGTCAAGTTTGTCGTTTTGCATGTGAACACGTGGAAAAACGAATTGTCACAGAAATGAGTCCTAACTAGATCAATTTTCCACCCCCGTAAAACCTCTATAGTGTTAATTTCATCAAAATTGTTAAAGCTTCTTTGGACAATGGAATTACAAATAAACAAGCGAATATATGTATAAATATTGTTGGTATAATAGTATAATATATACGAATGTACACATTTGAATATAACAGCTAAATGAATATAAATATTACATTACATTGTTTGGACATTGTACCTACTGCAATATCTATAACAGTACAAGAGCTGATGTTAATAAGAATAAGAAAGACAAGGGCAGTGTTATAGTACGCAAGCTGCCTTTATTTGATTCATCAGTTGGAGGGGCCTGAGTAGTTGAACTACTAGAGCTTGGGGGTCTGGTGGTTGAATCGCTAGCAGTTGAACTGGTAGTAGTAACGACCCTTGTTGCAACAACTTGTTTGAAATATTCTCCAGACGTTTTTATCGTTCGGGGACGTGCGGGGTCTGACATATTGACGTAATGGAGTCCAAAACGATTCCTGAAATTCAAAATTTAACCTATGTTATATTAAAATTGCCTGGGCGCCATTAACGTAGTCTGTACAAAACGGTCTGATCAATATATTGAGGTTAGGAATGGTAGAGAGAGAAAACACTATTTGAAAACATTCACTTAATTTCTTGAATTTCTTAACAACTATCAACCTACAAGGTCACTTTCAGTAGAAGCGCCAGTGAAACGTTTCAAAAATTGTTTTCTACAAATATCAGCATGATCAACTTTTCCGTAAAAAAGCTCTACTTTGGCGGCAAACAAAACCCGGAGTTGATATGGTTCTTAAGGAAGTTCGGAAAACAGAGAAATAAAAAGAGGAAAGTAGGAGAAGCTCTCCCATCATAACCTTAACTCACTTCATAGTTCATAGTATTTATGCTTGGTGCATTTCCGTCACATAAAAAAGCACCACATTGGCGACGAATAAAACAATGACTTAATATTATTCTTCTGGCATGACAAGAGAGCATGGAAGGCAGAGAAAGAAAAAGAGGAGAGTACGAAAACATCTCCCAATATAACCTCAACTTACCTACTCCTTGGTTAATAGCATTTATGCTTGGTGCATATCTGTCAAAAAAAGGCACTACATTGGCGGCGAATCGAACCCCGACTTAATATGATTCTTTTGGCATGATAAGAAAGTATGAAAATCGGTGGGGGGGGGAAGAGAAGAGAAGGAGGTGCTCTGCCATTAAAACCTTAACTTACTTCTTAGTTCATAGTATTCATGGTTGGTGCATATCTTTCAAATGAAAAAGCACTACATTGGCCCTGACTTAATAAGATTCTTTTGGCATGATAAGACACTGTAGAAGGCACAGAAAGAAAACAAGGAGAGCACGAGAACATCTCCCAACATAACCTCAACTTATTCCTTGGTTCATAGCCTTTGTGCTTGGTGCATATCTGTCAAAAAGAGGCACTACATTGGCGGCGAATAGAACCCCGACTTAATGATTCTATTTGCATGATAAGAGTGTATGGAAAGTAGAGGAGGGAAAAAGAGAAGAGAAGGAGGAACTTTGCCATTAAAACCTTAACTTACTTCTGAGTTTATAGTGTTCATGGTTGGTGCATATCTTTCAAATGAAAAAGCACTACATTGGCCCCGACTTAATATGATTCTTTTGGCATGATAAGAGAGTACAGAAGGCACAGAAAGAAAACAAGGAGAGTACGAGAATCTCTCCCAACATAACCTCAACTTACTCCTTGGTTAATAGCATTTATGCTTGGTGCATATCTGTCAAAAAAAGGCACTACATTGGCGGCGAATCGAACCCCGACTTAATATGACTCTTTTGGCATAATAAGAAAGTATGAAAATTAGGGGGGGAAAGAGAAGAGAAGGAGGAACTTTGCCATTAAAACCTTAACTTACTTCTTGGTTCATAGCATTCATAGTTGGTGCATTTCCTTCAAATGAAAAAGCACTACATTGGCGCCGACTTAATATGATTCTTTTGGCATGATAAGAGAGTATAGAAGTCACAGAAAGATAAAGAGGAGAGTACGAGAACATCTCCTAACATAACCTCAACTTACTCCTTGGTTAATAGCATTTATACTTGGTGCATATGCCTCAAATAAAGAAACTTTATATTACCCCTCACCCTCACTTAATATGATTCATCTGGCAAGATAAAAGAGTGTGAAAAGCAGAGGGGGGAAAAGTGAAGGGAAGGACGAACTGTCCCATTAAAACCTTAACTTCTTCTTTGTTCATAGCATTGCATATTCGTCAAATAAAAAGCAGTACATTCGTGGCGAATAGAATATACACTTAATATGATTGTTTTGTCATGATAAAAGAGTATGGAAAGCAGAGGAAGAAAAAGACGAAAGTAGGAGATGCCCTCCCATCATAACCTTAACTTACTCCTTGATTCATTATATTTATGCTTGGTGCATGTCCGTCAAAAAAAGCAGAACATTGACTTAATATGATTGTTTTGTCATGATAAGAGAGTATCGGAAGCAGAGGAAGAAAAAGAGGAGAGTACGATAAGCTCTCCCACCACAACCTTAACATACTGCTTGTTTAATAGCATTTATTCTTAGCGCCGTTGATACATACACACAAGTGAATCTTATAATTCTTAACCTAACTTAATATAATATATTCTAAGTTATAAAAAAGAATAATGTTATACGAAAGATTTTTTTTTTATTTTTTCATTTGTATATTAAAATTCTTCCTGTTTAAAATACGTATAAGAGTAATACTTTACTTACACATAGCCGTCAAGCCATTCGAAATTATCCATCAAGCTCCAGGCTGTATAACCCTTTATATTTGCTCCTTCGCCTAAAGCATCAAGAACGGCGCTGAGGTACAGCTGTAATAAATAAATAAAGTCTATAAATTATACCAACGAAAATTTTTATTGAAGTGGTAAAAAACATGATTTTGTCGTGATTATTGCTTCACGAAAATGAAGTGCAGTTTTGTGGAACTGTAAATGCAAAAATTTGAGGTTCGAAAAGGTTTTATTGAGTATCAGGAATATATTAGCAATTTGAAACGTTTCTTAGAAGTACCGAGCGACATGGCCTAGAGGTTTAGACCATTGCTTAGCATTCGAGAGGACGCCGGTTCTATTCCGGGTCCGTCTGCCTCGGTCTAAGTTTTTCTACGGTTTTCTTGGATCACTTAGGCAAATACTGGGGCAGTAATATTCCACAGATGATAATCTTACATTCTCTTGTGTCTTAATTTGGCCAGTCTCGCTTTTCTCACGCGAACCACCACCCACCCATTCCCACGATTTCTCAAAGGAGGCTACAGAGGGTCTTCCACCCTACCTTCTGGCGAAGTCTGGAGGTGCTGTCCGCCCACCAGCATTACTGGCAGATGGGAATGAAACACCCAAAAGGGTTTTCTCTTAGAAATTGAGTCTGCACAATTTGTTGTGTCGAAAACATTGGTAGATTCGAATTGAATATTGAAATTTGACAATGTAACATTTATTTTCAAAATAACAGCATCTTAAATATATTGTTTCTTATTTTACCTGATAGTAATTAGTTCGTCGGGAATCATCAATTTCACCATAATCGGAATATCCGTTTTCGGTAACGTACATTGGGTAACCATATTCGTTATCGAGCCACATTAGCAAATTTCTAAATCCCCATGGTGCAACCTGAAAAAGGAGTTTTAGTTTAGTACTTCCTGGTATGTATGTAATACATGTAATAAGTAATTTAGTTATTTAGACGAGTAAGAAATATTCCATTGTTAATGATGTTACGTAATGGTAGGTACTTATGTTTTAGAATGCATAAGTACAATCTGATTATAGTAAAAAGATAATAAAAGACTTCGTGGTTTGAACAAGTTCACTGTTTAGTCCTGTCACTCTCTGTTGTCAACGCCTCACTCTCCATCAGAACAGAACAGAAGGCTGTTTCGGGGTAGACGGACAATCTAAATCAAAATATGCGGGGCTTGTGAGGGATTATGGAATTTAATTTAGTTTTACTTGTCAAGGTGTTGTAGTAGGTACTATTCGTTACGATTAAGATTGTTGGGTTCTTTGAAAATCCCGAAAGCTCTCGTGTGTGAAGGCTACTAATGTAGGAAAGTCTTTGTCCTCGAAACTTAGAAATTCTATTATCAAATGCTAGCTCTGCCCCATCTACATTTATACAGCTTCTTTGTCATTGGTGCACTTGAAACTAATCCTACTATAACCAAATCCATCCCCATGGTGCGGAATGCTTAACCCTTAACATTTTTCAGTACTAGAAAATACTACAAATGGCGCAGTAAACGCCATCTGTAGCACGATGCTACATTTTAGGATTACGTATAATACAGACCACTTCGAATTATTTTTTTCGATTAAGCTAACGTGCCTATCACGTTGAGGTTAGCTACGCCGGGATTCGTTTTCAGCAAGTAGATATCCACACAAGTTGACCTTGCTGGAGCATACGTAATCCTAAAATGTAGTATCGTACTACAGATGGCGCACTGTTAAGACAGCAGGTAAAAGTTGGTCTGTGTTCTGTCGGAGCTGTCTGCGACGCGCTGATGGGATCCAAAAAGATCGAAATCGCGATCCGCGTCTGGCGGTTTCGACAGAATACATACCACTTCGAATTATTTTATTTTTCAGTATGTTTATCTGGTCACTGGAGGGGGTGCCGGGGGATACCCCCCCTCTTTATCTGCTTCAGTTGGCTTTTTCAACATATATTATGAATTAGGAAATATGCAAAAAATGGACTTCCTTCATAATTTCGTATACAAACGACCGGTAGGTAAAACTGCTTGAGGAATTCGAAGAGCGTTCCTGTCATAGGACTATAAAACTAATATTGGCCCAGAGTTGAGTGGTCACTGAACTCCTTCAGGTGGCAGAGATTACTATAACAGTATCATTAAGAAGTCGAATTTCTGGTTAATATTTCGAGCCTAATTCGCCAAAGTAAGTCAGAAGTTAGAAGCATTTTATCGTATACCTAATATATCAATAGCGGCATGAGGGGATAATTCGTAAATCTGTTCTGGTACACAAAAACACCAAAATTTTTGTTTTAATTAAAACCAAGCGCATGGTAAAAACGGTATATTTACATGTATTTAAATATATAATATTAAACAACAAAAGGAATGGAAGATTTGAACATTGTAGACGCAATATACATTATTAATAAAACCAGAGAATCCCATATTTCAATTAGGCAACAGGAAGATGTAATGCAAACTCAATAGAAAGTGACAAAATTTTAGCTAGAAAAGTTACAATTAATCCACAACAACATTTTCAAAGACATCATCGAATTCTGGCAAAAATTGACGACTGTGAATCCAATGCAGCGAGTTTTGAAATAAATATGTTTTATAGAAAAGATTAGATTACTGTTCGCAAACAGTTAAGGATGTGGGATGTTTTACTTTTAAAGAAGTCCGAAGATTGTCTTCGGATACGGAAGGGTGGAAGTGCCTGTCCAACCAACCTTTTGATGATGATGAAGATAAAATTACAAACTTTTTAGAAGATGTATGCAAAATGGTTGTAATACGTTTGATTCTCATATCAAACATTCTCACAAACACAAACCCTTTAGGCAAAAAGAATATTAGAAGTGACCCATCTACATTTTGTCCAATTGTTTAAAACCAACTCGAATAATGCTGATCTATTAAACATTCTGGATAGGGTCATTACAATCAATAATTTTGTAATCATTAATTGGACTTTAATTAACACACTAAACACGTTTTGAATAATTCTGGAGATCTAACATTTGTAGGTCCAGACAAATATTTGTGTACACCACACGACCTATTGATAATTCTGGATTCTAATTTTCAGGCAGATGCCACTTTAATAATAATAATAATTTTATGTTCTGTGCATATTATAATTAGCACCTAAAAGTCAATATTTATTTATAAACACTTACCTTCAACCAGCTAGAAGCAGCGCCTTCCCAACTGGGGTCAAACCAAATAGATACACCTCTGTCCTTCTCCATTGATGGCTCTCCGATTTCGTCGTCATCACTGGGTGCTGCTAGATATGTCATATAGTGATTAACTCCTAAAAAGTCCGCTGTGCCATTAATATATTGTATCTCTTCTTCAGTAAGTTCTGGCAGACGTGAAAAAGGAAATCCTTCCAAAGCACTTCGATTTGCTACTGCCTGTTTTACGACTTCCGGATAATCGCCACCCTTTCCAAGAATCGCATGAGCATAAAGTCCCATCTAAAAGTAAGAAAGTATCATGTATAAATATGAAGATTGGAAAAACTTTGGCGGTTGTTGTAAAACAAACAAAATAGCTCAAAAACAAGGTTACCTCCTTCAGTCTCTAACCTTGTTACCGAAAAGTGCTTCGGACAACTACAGTGTCGTGTTTTGGCGTTGGGGTTTTGAGCTATTTTGTTTGTTCTAATACATGCAGAAAGCAACAATTTGAAGCAGAAATGACTTCAATATTAAATTGAAAACTTACATTGAATTGCCTTGCTCTCTCAGCGGCTGCAATGTCATCTGGTGATGTTGTATTTGGCTCATACCACTTTGATGAAACAACAATTCCAACGACACCTTATTGTTATAAATATTTAATTGTAAATATACAATAATCTTCAACTTATCATTTATAGTGATGATTTTTCTAAATTAAGATGACACAAGAATTACCTAATGGAAAGATAGAGAAAACAGGGGACCTCTTTATATCTCTGTCTCTTTTGATCGCGTGAAATAGAAATGAAATTTTGAGAAACACATTACATATGCATCATTTTTCCTAAAGCAGAACTGATGTTGATAGTTAAATTATCACGAAAAACCCTGAAGTGTTCCTCCGTTATCGAGGTCGAAACGTTAACATCTGGCAATGAAACGCAATTTTAATTGTACATTACCTACATAATATGTATTTTGACTATATGCTACGAATTTCTGATTGATGTATGTCTTCCATTTGTAATGAAAAAATTTTTACCTTGCTGTGTACTCCTGTATATTTCATCATACATATGATAGGCTCTTGCATGAGCTTTCAGCATAGTATCAGCGCAGAGATATTCTCCAATCCCCGGTTGTGCTACGTTGGCCGGGGCGTCCCTGGTGCTACCATAAGCGTTACAAATCGATTCTCCTTCATTAAACGTAATCCAATGTTTTACCCTATCTCCGAATTCCTCAAAAACAACTTGAGCATAGTCTGCGTAATAGTCGACCATGATCGGGTTTGTCCAACCTCCCAAATTTTGCAATTCGCTTGGTAAATCCCAATGGTAGATGGTGACCATTGGAATTATGTTGGCAGCTAGGAGGGCATTAATGAGATTGTTGTAATATTGTCGACCCGTCTCACTGATAACGTTGGAATACGAATTGGGTAGTAAACGGGTCCACGAGATAGAAAAACGGTAAAAATCAACACCTAAATTTCTCAAAAGTGCTATATCATCATCCATGCGATGATAGGAATCGCAGGCTACATCTCCGTTGCTTCCATCAATAATTAACTCGGGATAGTTGTGAGTAAGTTGGTCCCAAATGTTTTCACTCTTGTCTAAAAAAAGTAAGTAATCTATGAAACTTCAATTGTCTTAAAAAAAAAAAAAAACGAAGGGCATAACAAAAAAGTCGTAGTTCTTTTTTACGTTAGTACGTACAAAAGCAGATTGACGATTGTCAACAAATTAATTTCAGAAGTCTTTTAGATATAACTCATTAAAATCGATGCTCCAAAGGTTTAATAATCTTATTTATTTACAATGTTTTCATAGATATCGATTTACTTCTTTAATGGTTATTTACTTTTATAAAATTAATATTGTTCATAAAATTTTATGATTAACATGATTAATGCAATCATATAAAATAAACGAAACCAATCATCAGAATGTACGATGATTATCTTTCATGTTTATCAGTTTCAATTAACAGCAGTAGTAAAAGTGAGTGAGTCAGTATAGAAAAACAGGAAAGACTCGAGAGAATGTGCGCATATTTTGCATTTCAAGATGGCATAGATAATTAGTAAATTGTTCGAAATATGTTGAGTAATTGCAATAATCGATTGATCAACTATTTATCATTTGAAAGATACCATCTCTAGATTTATACATACGTATAGCGGTACAGTACCTATGTAAACTCTAGATAATTTTAAGATATTTTTGTTTGGATATTAACCTACCGCTTTCATTCCATGCTCCTTCAACTTGATACGAAGAAGTCCCTACACCAAATAAAAAGTCATCAGGAAACGAATTTGTGTTAAGTTGTTGTGCAAGAGTTCTAGAAGAGAGAGAAAAGGCATTTTATTAATTGAAACTTGATGGATGCTCGTTGTTATAATAGATGAAAATGAATGAAATTTAATCTAAAGTCATGTTTCGTTATTCTCTTTTCAATTTTTCTTTGAATAAAATTACTTCTTTTGCACACGATTATCTATTGCACAGTCCGGCAAAAAACCGGAGTTATTTATGCATATGGTACCAGCCAATGATCAATCTAATGTAGGCAAACAATACAACTTATTCAATGTGGCGTTGCGATGTCGTATTTTCGAGTGTGATATTACCAGGGTCGGACTGGCCCTTGGTTGTACATTCAAATATGTTTTTTTTTAATGGTGGACTATCGGACCACCAAACAGTTACTTAATTTCCTTGTTTTATAATATAGCCATATTACTTGCTACAAATTTTATTTTGTTGGGCGGCTGGTCAGTGAAGGAGGGCTACATACGTGATTGGTACTGGTCGGGCCACGCTTACTGCACCACCTGATGCCAGGTGTCAGGTAGTACTTATTAGGATATGGAATTGTGCTGTAGCGTACAAGTGTCGTGATGGCTGTCTACTGTGGTCAGTCGATGGGTCTTTAATTATAACGTAAAATTCCTCTACACTACTAGAGTGCATCCAATATACCCTCTTTGTTTTCGTCTTTCCTTCTGAAGTAGACGATCCCACTGGTACAGAATCGAGAAGCCACATCATAACAACTTGTTTCCGTTTCCTATTCAAAAGCTTATTCTCTTCTACAGAGACTACTGGATACCGGAAGCATTCATCCGGCATGTATGTATGTAACTAAGAACTATTTGAACAGGAAATAAGCGGTCGGCGGATACCAAGCGGCATGGCCTAAAGGTTTAGACCATTGTTTGGCATTCGGGAGGACGCCGGTTAGATTCCGGGTGCGTCTGCCTTGGTCCAAGTTTTTCTGTGGTTTCCTTGAATCAGTTACGCAAATGCTGGAGCAGTAACATTCCACAGACAGTCTTTCATTCACTTCTGTTTTCATTTCGTCCGTCTTATCTTTATCACCCGAACCACCACCCACACATTCCTACGATTCCTGAAAGGAAGCTGAAGAAGGCCTTCCGCCCTACCTTCCGGCATAGTTCGGAGGGACTGCCCGCTCATCAGCATTATGGCTGGTGGGAATGAAACATCCAAAAGTTTTTTTTTTTTTGGTCGGCGGAGTCACTAGTGGTCAACTGACTATAACAAATAGATCACACCGAAGCTACCGATAATATAAATATAAAATTTTTTTGCATAAGTTTTTTCCCAAATTGAGTCTACGGATCGACTTCATTTCAATCAATTGACGTGCTTCGTCGCAAATAAGACGTGTCGTATATTTTTATTTAACAAGTTGATGATATTTGTGACGAGCTTATTGAGCATTATGAAATACCAGAATCAGAAGATGAATGCAAGTCTAAAGGCACTTTTCTTGAAAAGTGAAAATAATAATCTTAATGAATATTCATAAAATAAAAAGTTAAATTAACAACTCAACTATGTTGTAACCTCTAAAAATATGTAATAAGAAAATGAACTTACAACTTTAATATTGTTACTAACAACACAATAACTTCCACCGCTTCCATTTTGTAACACTGGCAACTCCCTAATAGTTTTATTAAAACTGCTTGGAATTTATATAAACCAACAGGTTGTTAACTATAAAAGGAAGCGATAAAGAATTTTTACCACACTTCGAAAAAGTTATTATCTTCGTTCGTTGTTTATTTATTGCATAATGGCAATTGACAGTTTCGATAAGATCAGCCCTACGATAAGTTTTATTGCTGATATTATCGTTAGTGGAAGAGTATGCTTTGCATGACACCCGCCTTTTGTATTTTCATTTGTTTAGTAATTGTTATTATACTTGCGGCTTCCTTATTGACGAAAGCATCTGGTAGCTCTCATTATTAACTATGAACCTTACTATTATATTACTAGTGTTGATTTGAATCCGTAACAGAACACTCATTCCATGCCGTGCTCGTACATTTGCCCACAACTATTTAGGGTGCGTATACACTATCCGCGCGAATACGTAGACACGCATTTGTGCGTAAACATGTCAGTGTAATCCAGAGGTTTACAGTTTACAAATTCGGCAGGACACTCATTTATTCTGGCAAGCCTTCTGTGATTTAAGTATTGATAGGGTTTTCTTGGGTCAATGCTGGGCAGTTTCGTTTTACAGATAATATTTTATTTTCCTCCTGTTCTTATTTCGTCTCATTCAATATATTACTCTAACTACCATGTGCTCATTCTTACATTCTTAGAAAGAGTTTGAAAAGGACCCTCTACCTTATGCTCCAGCTTTGTGCTAGAATGCAATTAAAAGAAACTATCCAGCTGTCAGTATTAATTAGTAGTTAGTGGAACCGAATTCAACAAAACGACTTTTCTTGCTTGAAAGGTCGTTTAAAAATTTTCTGTTATTAAATAGAAGTTTTTCGTCCAAGAAACCTATAGTACATTACATATCGAGGGAAAAAACAGGGTTTTTTCAGACTGCATGTGAATTGTGTGGCAAACATACAGTCTGAGATAACCCTGTTTCTTCCCGAGGTATGTATACTATTTTTTGTCATGTTTGTGCGGAAAGCTCGTCATTAAGTTGATAGTTGGCGAAATAAGAGTAAATGATTTAGAGGTTAGAAAGACATTGTCATTGAACAAATGATTTCTGCGCATGCCCATAAACTTCAGCGCATGCGCTCAAAAGACTAATTTCATTGCTTCCCGACTAAAACACTGGTGAAAAGAGGCCATTTCTTCCCTATATATAATACAAGTGGTATTGTATTTATATTATTACACAGAAAGCATTCATTTTTGTTCGTCTAGTGTGTACCCACCTTTAGGAAAAATAAAGCGCAAGCGATTCGCCTTACAGAAATCTATAGGATCCAGCAGTACGAAAATTAGCGCTACATATAAATTATCTGATTTTTTATGGAAATTAAAACGTATTCACAGTAGGAAAATTCTAACTATCCCAGGAGAATGTAATCAATTTTAATGAAATCAATCACTAAATGGTGAATCGGAAACGTAAACAACATTTTAAAAAAACTGAAGATGCATGTCACGGCTGTTGTGATTGTATTTACACAAGTGTTGTTTTTAATGGTAATATTATACTGATAACTGATTACAATATAATAGTATTACACAACAATTTTTGAATTGGCACTTCGTTTACCATTCATTATATTATTGAGGTCATTAAGTAGTTGATTCAGTTAATTTATTACCAAGTATCGTCTTTTACAACGTTAAAATAGTAACAATGACTATAATTCACACCTTAATTTTAGTTAAATTGCCTACATGCATATATAGCACTAAATACTCGATTAAGTCAAAATATGGCGTAACGATTGTTGTAGTTTTTGCTTATAAACAAAATAAATAAATTTATCAATAGGATTTCAAAGGTTTGTTCCCGATTTTATCAGATCAGAAGGTTGCGTATTTATATCGCGTAGGGGTCACCAATGTAGCGTATAGGGTGATTTATGACGTGGTGCAGGTATTAGTGTCGGTGCACACTTGCGACAGTTTGCCGCCGCGGGTCCGCAGCGGCACCGCAAAGTTTGCTGCACACTTGTTGGTATTTTTGCGGTTTTGTTGCGGCGCCGCAAAAGTAATAAAAATATATATGTAATACAGTGTCATTCGTTTTTAAAGAAAATCAGTCAGTGCGACAAGTTGAATAGTGCAAAATGGAAGTTTTTATTAATGATAGGCGTGCAGTTTTTACGTATTTGGTGTACAAATGCGTTATTGATCGAAAAAAAACGAGACGATTTTGGGTAGACCCATATACCGATTTACGGCTTACGAGGGGCACATTTCTAACGTCGTTTTCGTATTTAAGGGAGAATCCTGACTAATTTTTGTGTGTGTTGCTTCATCTGATGAATTAACAGCAAAAGTTTCTGATAGGATAAGATCGCAAAAGATACCAGATTAAGAGTCTCCATAATCCCACTAGTAATGTTTTCTCCTTGTCATCCAGCTCCAAAAATCCATCAGAAAACATTTCACAGATTATAATCCATGCAGACCTGTTTTTGACTCTTTCATGGTATAGGTATATTTCTGAGGAAATATCCCATATCTCTGGGAACCAACCCCTTTACTGCATCAATGAATAACTCTATATCGAAATCTTCAGAAGTTCTAGTAGCAGCCATCCTTTTTTGCGTCAATTTGCCGCAAGTGTGTACCAACCGATATACAAACGAGTACTACAAAACCGCAATAGCGGCAGCGGTGCCGCCACGGTTCCGTAGGTTCAAAACGGTCGCCATTTGGACGCGCGGCCCCGCGGCGGCGCGCAGATGAATGTGCATTAACCCATTTACTTGTTAGTACTTTAAGCCGCAATTGCGGTGCCGCAGCGGCGATTGCCGCAAGTGTGCACCGGCGCTTAGAGGCTTGGGATATACGCAGATATCAGCACGTGCAACTATGTCCGTAAAGAAAAGGCGACGTTGTGTTGGGCGGAGACTACTCGTCGCCGCTTGTGACCTCCGTTGCAGTTTTCCGACCGCATTAAACATGGAGGGTTGCACTTGAGAGGTTTGTCTTTGAATCTCCGATGATAATAACACTGACTGTTTATGCGAACGCGACCGTGATCGCGAGGGTCTTGACATCCGTCATCTAACGTAGTTGAGGTTCATTTTGAGGGAGTTGCATTGGTTGTAGTGTGTCAGTGGACCGAGTCAATGATACTGTCAGCATCTTCTGCAACGTCATTCAGGTTCTTTTCCTTCATTGCTGAAAAGATCGGCTGGATGTGGGTTGGAAGGCGACCAGATCATATGGTTCGTAGAAGGCTATCGGTGATGGTGGCACCGCCTAAACTACGAAGATGTAGATGAAGCTTAAGAAGTGAGAGTGCTTCCTGTTCGAATAGTTGCTTGGTGCGTGCATGTTGAGAAACACCAAATCGTCGAGTGAACTCTGCTTTGATGTGTTTTATGGATCTTTCTCCGGAGGGTTGACGATGGCGTCACGTACTTTTGCGGCATGTCGGGGATCAAGATTACCAAGTACATACCCAAATTTGGTAGCTTCCGAAGTGATCGCAGAGGGATCGAACCATAACTCCGAGTCGGGTGGAACAAACGGTGGCAGTTTGACTACCAGGCTGTTCACGGATGCCGGGGCAGTTAGTAGAGTAAGTTGTCATGTTAATGTGGTGAGGCAGGAGACGACGATATTACGATTATAGAACCCAGAGACAGTTTGTGGTTCATAGGACGGTGCTGTAACTTATTTCTTCATTGGATGGCGCAGCATCACGTCGGAATCACCAATGTAGCGTATGCAACGCTAACAAATAAAGGTGCAGACTCTTTTTAACAGTCTTTTGTATGTCACATTTTCGTTAATTCATAAACACTGATAATAAAATAGAGAAAAATACACAGAAACTTTGTTCTTGCAATTTTGATCAAATTTTCTTCTAACATTCCATACCTTTTTGCGTGCACTATCTTTGTGAAATCATAGATTTCGTCTTCTACAGAGACGGTATGGTCCTGACCCTTAGATAAGCATCATGCTACATCAACAACTATTGTACAATGACATACTGACTTACTCCAATAAGGTTATTGAACTGCACATTGAGTAAATATAAAGTTAAAACATTAGAAGAACAAATAATTGACACAGGATGGCTGTAATATAAAAATCAAACAACAGGTACATGCACACGCTCTAAGCCTTTGAGCTATGAAGAAAATGATATATCTGTGGTGAAACTATACTTCGTTTACTTTCTCTGTCTTTGATGCACGCTGGCAAATTCGTAGGTAGGGAGAAAAAAGCTCATTATACTCTCGACTCTTGTTCATTAAACATACTTTTCCATACAGTACCTGCCAAAAGTTTTATTCCAACATGAATAGTAGCGCGAGTCGAAAACAAGCGTTAAACGTTTAATGAGCTCTCAATACGTCTTCAAATATAAACAAACATCTCATTAATATTTCCAATAGTAATTGGTACAAATAGTAGCACGTTTTAGTCGATAAAATGGTCAATTTTTCAGTGCAGTACTGTACGTATTATGCGCTCCTCAACGGTTGAGAGTTTGACCGAGAGTCGTCTACTTTCTTTTCTCGCCTAGTGCTGTTCTTTTCTATTTTCCGCAGGTTATACTGAAGGTCACGTCGGTGTGTCGAAGTGTACCAATCATATTGCGCAGGTAAGTTAGTATTCTGCATCTTCAAAAACGTGATTATAAATAAATAAAGGAATATATAAATATTGCTCGATAATAGTTCAGTAAAGCACAGCTAGGTAAATATAAATGTTATATTAGACAGTTTGCTCATTGTACTACAATATCCATGGCACTACAGGAGCGGATACTAATAAGAGTAAGAAAGACAAAGGCGGTATTATAATACGCAAGCTGCCTCCATTCGATTCACCATATGTAGGGGCCTGAGTAGTTGAACCACCATTGGTTGAAACAGTTGCACTGGTAGTAGTAACGACCCTTGTTGCAATAACTTGTTTGAAATATTCTCCAGATGATTTTATCGTTCGGGGGTCGGACACGTTCACGTAATAGAGTCCGAAACGATTCCTGAAATGTCAAACTCGATAAGTTCATAATACATTAGAATGTAATGTATTATTATTTAAAGAATTCGTGTGCGTCATCAACATGGTCTAAACGAAACAATTTGGTCGATACTGCCTGAGGAGTAGATAGATAAAACATTTTTTGAAAACATTCATAATAATTTTCAACCTACAAGGCTATCTTCAGAAGAAGGGCCGAAAAAAACGTTCTCTACAAGCATCAGCATCATGAAACTTTCATATGATAAAAGCTGACCGTTTCATCATGTTTCCAAGAGCAGCAGATAGACGGGTACACAATCGTTACTCGAAATATTGAAAGCTGACTGTTTAACTAACTAACACTGGGAATGTACCGAGCGTCATGGTCTAGAGGTTTAGACCATTGCTTAGCATTGGGAAGGACGCCGGGTCGATTCCGGGTGCGTCTGCCTTGGTCCAAATTTTTCTTGGATCACTTAGGCAAATGCTGGGACAGTAACATTCCACAGATAATCTTTCATTCTAGTCTGTCTTGATTTCGTTCATCTCATCTTTCTCACCCGAACCACCACCTACCCTTTCCCACGGGAGGCTGAAAAGGGCCTTCCGCCCAACCTTCCGGCACAGTCCGGAGAGTCTGCCCGCTCACCAGCATTACTGGCTGGTGGAAATAAAACACCCAAAAGTTTATTTTTGTTTTTTTAGAATGTGCATAATTGATAATCGCGATAATGGTATTTTTAAATAACCAAACATATTTTTTTTTAAATATTCGTATTAAAATCCTGCCTGTGTAAAATACCTAATGGGAAAGCTGTACTTACACGAAACCGTCAAGCCATTCGAAATTATCCATCAAACTCCACGCTGTATAACCTCTTATATTTGCTCCGTTACTTAAAGCATCAAGGACAGCGCTCAGATACAACTGTAATAAATAAATAAATAAATAAATAAATTTTATAATTCGTATAAACAAAAAGCTTTAATAAACTCGTACAAAATAGATTTCCACCAAAATGGTTTCGGTTTAAATTGTAATTGCAAATTTTTGAGGCTTGAAAAGATTCTATTCATTTGCAATCGGAATGTTTCTTAGAAGTTGAACCTGCACAATTTATTGTATCGAAAGCATTGGCGAATTAACTATTGATATTGAACAAAGTATAATTTATTTTCAAAATAATGGGGTATCTTAAATATATTATTTACCTGATAATAATTAGTTCGTCGGGAATCGTCAATTTCGCCATAATCGGAATATCCGTTTTCGGTAACGTACATTGGGTAACCATATTCGTTATTGAGCGTCATTAGCAAATTACTAAATCCCCATGGTACAACCTGAAAAAGAGTTTTAACACATCGTAATATGTATGCAATACATGTAATATGTAATTCAGTTTTTTACACGAGTCGGAAATGAGGTTATTTAATGATAGGTACCTGTTTAGGTTTTGGAATGCATAGGTACAATGATTATAGGAAAAAGGTAAAAGTCTTTATAAATAGAAAATCTACTATTCGGCCTTGTATTTGTACTCCATTACTGTATCTGTCATGAACGATTCACTCCCTGTCAGAACTTTCGAGCTGTTACAGCGTAGAACTCCCCAGGATTGTCCCGGTAAGGGATTCAGGGCCCATAAGCACGTTATGAAGAACCTAAAAACTTCCGAGTATCTGTAGGCAAAGTGCAAGTGGGATGTAACCTATGGACACGTGCAAAGGATCGCAAGCACCCATCTGGCGTGACAAGCCACAAAAACACTACGGGGACGGTACAGGGCAGGTGGCATTCGGACGCCTTGTAGGCCCTGCACAAACGCGGGAAGGTGATGCGGGGAAAGAGCCGCCCCTCCATCTAAATGTCGAAAGTGAGGCTTTCTGCACCCTTGTCAAAGTAAAGGCGAAAAGCATTGTAGATCGGGCTAGTCAAGAAGCTGAAAGGTGCTCCAAGATAGCGCGCACACAGCAAAACGGTTCACCCAGCGTGGGTGGAGTCGATGGTTACCGAAGTGCCTATACCGATTACTTCGGTATCGGGGGGTTCCCAGAAGTATACCTTCAGCTCCTCCGGTGCCAATTGGCTTCCTACTTAAAAGGGCACTTGGATGATAGCCCGCATGCTCCGTTAGAGGGTTATGCAGTGGGGTGTCCTGTTCTTTGCGTTGTCCCCGAACCTGGGGATTACTCGCCTCGTTAATCCTCAGGCACCTTGGCGGTTTCCTGGGACCAATCCGTCCCGACAGAGGAAAACCCCCAAGGTGCAGCTGTGCCGGTTTGGCGTATGGGTAAGCTTTATCAAAACCGGTGCCACTCTTAAATCACCATTAGACGGGTAGCCTAGATCAAAATATGCGGGACTTGTGAGGGATTATGGAGTTTACTTTAGGTGTGGTTGTCAGTGTAGTACAATTTATGGTCTGTGAGCAGAAGTATGTATGTGTTGCATAGGTACCTTTCGTCACGATTTAGGTTGTCAAGTTCTTTGGTGTAGAGGTTGGTTGTGCGGAGTCTTCGTGCTAGAAAAATAGATTTGTTTGTTGATTTCCGTTTGAAGCTCCGCTAATATAGCATTAGTGAGAAAGTAGAACGTGATACGTTAACCACAGTGTAAATTACTTCCGAAACTACGAAACTACGTCATGTTTGTCGGTGGCGCGAGACCTATGCTTCAAAGTATGTGTGTATACGGCAATACACGTCAAACATTAAAAATTTATTAGTCGTTATCGTACAATGTCACTATTATGTATGTAACAAACCAAACAGTCGAATGTAGACTTAGGACCCGTCCAATTTTTTCCAATTGTTTAATACTAAGTCGAATACCTCAGAACTGCCGATCGGCATGTCCTAGAGGTTTAGACCATTGCGTAGCATTCGGAAGGACGCCGGTTCGATTCTGGGTCTGTCTGCCTTGGTCCAAGCTTTTCTGTGGTTTCCTTGGAACACCTAGGCAAATGCGGAGGCAGTAATATTCCACAGATAATCTTTCTTTCCCTTCTGTCATCATTTCGTCCGTCTCATCTTTCTCACCCGATCCACCACCCACCCATTCCCACGATTCCTGAAAGCGGGCTGATGAGGGCCTTCCGCCCTACCTTCCGGCGTAGTCAGGAGGGACTGCCCGCATTGCTGGCTGGTGGGAATGAAACACCCAAAAATTTAGAAAGTTTTGCCGATCATTCATTTACATTCTCTAGCGATGAACCCCCTTCCAATGTCTTGGATGCGCGCTGACAAAATCGTAGGTAGGGAGAAAAAAGCTCATTATACTCTCGACTGTTGTTCATTAAACATACTTTTCCATACAGTACCTGCCAAAAGTTTTATTCCAACATGAATAGTAGCGCGAGTCGAAAACAAGCGTTAAACGTTTAATGAGCTCTCAATACGTCTTCAAATATAAACAAACATCTCATTAATATTTCCAATAGTAATTGGTACAAATAGTAGCACGTTTTAGTCGATAAAATGGTCAATTTTTCAGTGCAGTACTGTACGTATTATGCGCTCCTCAACGGTTGAGAGTTTGACCGAGAGTCGTCTACTTTCTTTTCTCGCCTAGTGCTGTTCTTTTCTATTTTCCGCAGGTTATACTGAAGGTCACGTCGGTGTGTCGAAGTGTACCAATCATATTGCGCAGGTAAGTTAGTATTCTGCATCTTCAAAAACGTGATTATAAATAAATAAAGGAATATATAAATATTGCTCGATAATAGTTCAGTAAAGCACAGCTAGGTAAATATAAATGTTATATTAGACAGTTTGCTCATTGTACTACAATATCCATGGCACTACAGGAGCGGATACTAATAAGAGTAAGAAAGACAAAGGCGGTATTATAATACGCAAGCTGCCTCCATTCGATTCACCATATGTAGGGGCCTGAGTAGTTGAACCACCATTGGTTGAAACAGTTGCNAGTCGGAAATGAGGTTATTTAATGATAGGTACCTGTTTAGGTTTTGGAATGCATAGGTACAATGATTATAGGAAAAAGGTAAAAGTCTTTATAAATAGAAAATCTACTATTCGGCCTTGTATTTGTACTCCATTACTGTATCTGTCATGATCGATTCACTCCCTGTCAGAACTTTCGAGCTGTTACAGCGTAGAACTCCCCAGGATTGTCCCGGTAAGGGATTCAGTACCCATAAGCACGTTATAAAGAACCTAAAAACTTCCGAGCATCTGTAGGCAAAGTGCAAGTGGGAAGTAACCTATGGACACGTGCAAAGGGGCGCAAGCACCCATCTGATGTGATAAGCCACAAAAGCACTGTGGGGGCGTTACAGGGCAGGTGGCTTTCGGACGCCTTGTAGGCCCAGCACAAACGCGGGAAGGTGATGTGGGGAAAGAGCCGCCCCTCCATCTAAATGTCGAAAGTGAGGCTTTCTGCACCCTTGTCAAAGTAAAGGCGAAAAGCATTGTAGATCGGGCCAGTCAAGAAGCTGAAAGGTGTTCTAAGATAGCGTGCACACAGCAAAACGGTTCACCCAGCGTAAGAGGACTTGATGGTGACCGAAGTGCCTATGCCGATTACTTCGGTATCGGGGGGTTCCCAGAAGTATACCTTCAGCTCCTCCGCTGCTAATTGGCTTCCTACTTAAAAGGGCACTTGGATGATAGCCCGCATGCTCCGTTAGAGGGTTATGCAGTGGGGTGCCCTGTTCTTTGCGTTGTCCCCGCGTTGAACGCTTTAGAGTTTAGATAGGCCCGAACCTGGGGATTACTTGCCTCGTTAATCCTCAGGCATCTTGGCGGTTTCCTGGGACCAATCCGTCCCGACAGAGGAAAAACCCCAAGGTGCAGCTGTGCAGGCAAATGCGGATGCAGTAATATTCCACAGATAATCTTTCTTTCCCTTCCGTCATCATTTCGTCCGTCTCATCTTTCTCACCCGATCCACCACCCACCCATTCCCACGATTCCTGAAAGCAGGCTGAAGAGGGCCTTCCGCCCTACCTTCCAGCGTAGTCAGGAGGGACTGCCCGCATTGCTGGCTGGTGGGAATGAAACACCCAAAAATTTAGAAAGTTTTGCCGATCATTCATTTACATTCTTTAGCGGTGAACCCCCTTCCAATGTTTTGGATGCGCGCTGACAAAATCATAGGTAGGGAGAAAAAAGCTCATTATACTCTCGACTCTTGTTCATTAGACATACTTTTTCATACAGTACCTGCCAAAAGTTTTGTTCAATCATGAATAGTAGTGCGAGTCGAAAACAAGCGTTAAACCCTATAATATGTCTTCAAATATAAATAAACATTTTGTTGATATTTTCAGTAGTAAATGGTAGCAAAAACAGCACATTGGAGCAATGCAATTGTAGTAGATAAAATGGTCAATTTTTCCGTGCAGTACTGTACGTATTATACGCTCCTCATCGGTTAAGAGTTTGGCCGAGAGCTGTCTTCTTTCTTTTCTGGCTTAGTGCTGTTCTTTTCTGTTTTGCGCCGGTCAAACTGAAGGTCACATCGCTACAGAAACTAAACGAGGTATACAGCGATAACATTCTGGAAAGTAGTCCTGAGAAAATCCTTCAACGTTTTAATTGTCATTTACTTCAAGAATGTTGTACAGTTGGCTGCTTCTACATATTATGATTTGAAAGCAAAAACGTCTTTTATTTAGGGTTTTACTTTTCTTAGATTGAAAAAGACAAACATTAATTTTGAGGTTATTAATCTATGGGACAGCACGCTTTGACTCATCCTGAAGGTACAGGGATTCTATTTGCAAGTCTATAGACGAACAGTTACTATGTGCACTAGACGACTTAACGATAATTTTGGATTCCAATTTGCAATACTTACTTTCAACCAGCTAGAAGCAGCGCCTTCCCAGCTGGGGTCAAACCAAGCAGATACACCTCTGTCCTTCTCCATCGACGGCTCTCCGATTTCGTCTGGATCTCTGGCTGCTGCTACATAAGTCATGTAGTGATTAACTCCAAAAAAGTCCGCTGTGCCTTTAATATATTGTATCTCTTCTTCAGTAAGCTCTGGCAGACGTGAAAAAGGAAACCCTTCCAAAGCACTTCGATTTGCTACTGCCTGTTTTACGACTTCCGGATAATCACCATCCCTTCCAAAAATTGCATGCATATAAAGTCCCACCTTAAAATAAAGTAATGTCGGTGCTTTAGCAGCCAAAAGAACACTTTCTTAAAATATACAATCAGAAAAAAATAAAACTCAATTTGGATAAAATAAGAGGTTTCAGTATTAAATCGAAAACTTACATTGAATTGCTTTGCTATTTCTGCGGCTGCAATATCTTCTGGCGATGTTGTGTTTGGCTCGAACCAATTTGATAAAGCAGTTATTCCAACGACACCTAAAATGTTATAAACATATTTAATTGTAAATAATCGTCAATTTATCATTTGTAGAAGTGGTTCATGTAGATGTAAGTAAGACCAATTTATCTCTCTTTCGGTCATATACCTACTTTAATGAAATAGAAAGAAATTTTGTTAAACAATAAATATCGTTGTCCCGTATTTGATGTTGATGGATCGATCGATGATCGATGATAATGGCACGAAAGACCTGACATGAAAAAAATTCATACCTTGTTGGGTACTCCTGTATCTTTCATCATAAATATGATAAGCTTTTGCATGAGCTTTCAATGCGGTGTAGGAGCAAAGATACTCCCCAATTCCGGGTTCTGCCACGTTGACCGGGGCTTGGTTAGGGCTACCATAGCCAGGACAAAACGATTGTGGCTCATTGAGCGTTATCCAATATTTAACCCTGTCTCCGAATTGCTCAAACGCAACTTGGGCATAGTCTGCGAAATAGTCGGCTATGATCGGGTTTGCCCAACCGCCCAATTTTTGTAATTCAGTTGGTAAATCCCAATGGTAGATGGTAACCATTGGAATTATGTTGGCAGCTAGGAGGGCATCAATGAGATTGTTGTAATATTGTAGACCCGTCTCACTTATAACGTTCGAATACGAATTGGGCAGTAAACGGGTCCACGAGATAGAAAAACGATAAAAGTCTACACCCAAATTTCTCAAAATTGCTATATCATCATCAATGTGATGATAGGAATCGCAGGCTACATCTCCGTTACTTCCATCAATAACTAAGTCGGGATAGTTGTGAGTAAGTTGGTCCCAAATGTTTTCACTTTTGTCTAAAAAAGTAAGTAAATATTTAAACTTAAATTGTCTTAAAAAAGAAAAGGAATGGCATAACAAAAAAAATCATAGTACTATTTTACGTTACTACGTACAAAAGCGGATTGATGGTTGACAATAAATTATTTTTAGAAGCTTTTTGTTTGGTAAGTCCTTTAGACATAGCATTATTAAAATTCATGCTCTAAATGTTTAATAATATTATTTTCGAGCTGTTACAGCGTNATATAACTCATTAAAATCGATGCTCCAAAGGTTTAATAATCTTATTTATTTACAATGTTTTCATAGATATCGATTTACTTCTTTAATGGTTATTTACTTTTATAAAATTAATATTGTTCATAAAATTTTATGATTAACATGATTAATGCAATCATATAAAATAAACGAAACCAATCATCAGAATGTACGATGATTATCTTTCATGTTTATCAGTTTCAATTAACAGCAGTAGTAAAAGTGAGTGAGTCAGTATAGAAAAACAGGAAAGACTCGAGAGAATGTGCGCATATTTTGCATTTCAAGATGGCATAGATAATTAGTAAATTGTTCGAAATATGTTGAGTAATTGCAATAATCGATTGATCAACTATTTATCATTTGAAAGATACCATCTCTAGATTTATACATACGTATAGCGGTACAGTACCTATGTAAACTCTAGATAATTTTAAGATATTTTTGTTTGAATATTAACCTACCACTTTCGTTCCATGCTCCTTCAACTTGATACGCAGAAGTCCCTACACCAAATAAAAAGTCATCAGGAAACGAATTTGTGTTAAGTTGTTGTGCATGAGAACTGGAAGAGAAAAACTGCACTTTATTAGTAGAAACTTGGCAGAAAGCCGTTAGTATAATCCAAGCTCCTACACCACAAAAATGTAGAATACCTACGATTATAAAAGCAGAAATCGTAACAATCTTAGAAAAACATACCAAAATGCAGAAGCGTGAATTGTCTGGTGTACTATACATTTCGCCTATATAAATATCATCAACAAAATGATGCAGAATCCTGGGTTATTTAAACTCATTGCAAAGGTACGGAAAGAATACGGCAATATACTAAAGATCGGAAAGAATACGGCAGTATACTAAAGATTCGATATAATCTATTTGAAGAACCGAAATCTTTACAATTCTTTGTAAATCTCCTCAAGGGCTAAATTAAAAATATAAGTTTTTTATACACCTCTTCACTACATTCCCGAGAAATTTAAATAAAAGATCTTACATAATTTTCTTGTCACCGCTACTTTTTAATTTATTCATCGAAGACGCGATCGACATTATTAAAGACATATATAACTGTGGGGATAGATATAGAGATGCAAAAATTTGGTATGCTTATATTTGCAGTATTAGCATTTAACAAGCAGTTAGAGATAGCTTTAAATAAAATGGATGCGGTATTGACAAAACAGTATTGTATGAAAATAAATGAAAACAAAACAAAAATACTGGTATGCAAGAGAAGAAAAAGTAGGGAAAGAGCGAATCTAAAGATAGGAGACGAAATATTGAAAAAGTGGCCGATTTTAGATAACTAGGAAGTCAGATAAGTCACAACGGAAGGAGTAGTAGGAATATAACGCAGAGGATAGCGCAGGGTAGAGTCGTCTTCAATAAAAAGAAATCACTTCTACGTTCGTGAACGATTAATTTAGAAATTCGAAAAAAATTGTCAAAGGTGCACGAGGCGCTGTACAGCTGCGAAACATGGACGATGGGCGCGGTGGAAAATTGGTGTTACAGGCTGGTGTTACCTAATTGAGTCTACGGCTATTCAATTCAATTGATTTACGTGCTGGGAAGCAAATAAAACGTGTCAAACAAGTTAATCTCATTTGTGAGGACCTTATTAAGCATTCTGAAATACCACAAATGCTACAATACATTCTAAATGCATTTATCTTGAAAAGTGAAATTAATAATTTTAATGAATGCACAAAAAAGAAGAATTATGAAAAGGAAGAAATGACTACAACTTTAATATTGTTGCTAACAACACGATAATTTTCACTGCTTGCATTTTGTAGCACTGGCAACTCTCTAATAGTTGCCTTAATGCGGTTTTGAATTTATATAGAGCAGTAGGCTATTAACTATAAAAGGAAGCGATGAAAAATATTTACCACATTTTGAAAAAGTTATTATCTTCGTTTGTTGTTGTTTTATTACGTAATAGCAATTGACAGATTTGATAAGATGAGCCCTAGGATAAGCTTTAAAATTTAAAAATTACAGGAATCAAAAGGTATAAATATTTTCACTGCTGCAATTATTGTTAATGGAAGATTTTGTCTCGTATGTCATTCGCCATTTTTGCTTTTTCAACTGTTTGGTAATTCTTACTATTTTTGCAGTCTTATTGTTATTTGGAACTCTTGGTATACTTTGTTTAGTTTCTGTAGCGATGTGACCTTCAGTTTGACCGGCGCAAAGCAGAAAAGGACAGCACTAAGCCAGAAAAGAAAGAAGACAGCTCTCGGCCAAACTCTTAACCGATGAGGAGCGTATAGTACGTACAGTACTGAACGGAAAAATTCACCATTTTATCTACTACAATTGCATTGCTCCAATGTGCTGTTGTTGGCACCATTTACTACTGAAAATATCAACGAGATGTTTATGTATATTTGAAGACATATTAAAGGCTTTAACGCTTGTTTTCGACTCGCCCTGCTATTCATGATGGAACAAAAGTTTTGGCAGGTACTGTATGAAAAAGTATGTTTATGAGCAAGAGCCGAGAGTATAATGAGCTTCTTTCTCCCTACCTACGATTTTGCCAGCGCGCATCCAAGACATTCGAAGGGGAAAATCGCTAGAGAAAGTAAATGAAGTATAGCTCTCATTATTACCTATGAGCCTTATCGCAATTGCAATGCCCATATATATTGCTAATTTTGAGCTAAATCCGTAGCAGAATACTTATTCCATTTTATCCTGTGTACAAAGGATCACATATTGTGTGCGCTTGCGCACAACTTTTGAGGGTGGGTATACACCATCCATAGGAACACTTAAAGGCGCCAAGCACTGTTGTTCAGAGGTTTAAATCAACTCATAACATTCGGGAGGACGCCGCATCAATTCTAGTCCTTCCGAGATCTAAGTATCGTAATAGCTTGATGGACACTTAGATTATACACATATACTTTTCTTCATGTTTAATTTTGCCTTTTTAGTAATTTACTATATTCCTGGCTGATCGTCAACCACTTATTATTCCAACAATTCCTAGAGTATACGTGGAAGGAACATCCCACCTGTCAGCAATAATTAATAGTTGGTTTGAACGAAATACACATAACGAAACAAAATAATTCGAATTGGTCTGTATTCTGTCGAAACTGCCAGACGCGGATCGCGATTTCGATCTTTTTGGATCTCATCAGCGCGTCGCAGGCAGCTCCGACAGAACACAGACCAACCTTTACCTGCTGTCTTAACAGCGCGTTTTAGAAATTACCACAAATGGCGTGGTGAGCGCCATCTGTAGTACGATGGTACATATAGATATCCATATTTTTAAATGGACCTTGCTGGAGCATACGTAATCCTAAAGTGTAGCATCGTACTACAGATGGCGCTCACCACGCCATTTGTGGTATTTTCTAAAACGCATAACGGGTTTTGATGTACGAAACGATTTAATTGCTGAGATATTAAAGTTTAGCGAATTATATGTGCACGGCAAGTTGTTCAATAGCTTTCCGTCATTATCTTCGGGAGGCCTGAATAGGTACTAAGTACCTCCAGTGATTGATAAACCATTCAATGCATATGTTACCGGAAATGTACGAAGTTATGAGTTATTGTATACAACTCCTAGGAAATGTATATAATTCCTAAAAGCGGCCGGAAATGTGTGAAATAAATTATATTAGACACATTTCCTAGGAAATCTATGCATTTCCTAAATATCAATCGGAAATTAATTGCAGATAATACCAAATAGGCAATAGTACGGCAGGTTGTTTGGGGATGTATATATGTATCCGCTGGTGACGTCATTGTTTGGTTAGGGAGATTTATGACAGACCGGAGTTTCTTCGATGCCCCTGCCCGCCGGAAGCGGGCTGATATGTTAGATATTAGAATAATGTGACGAGGTTTTCTTTGTTTTAGCAAACACGATGACCTTGAATTTTTAGTATGTTGTAGAGGTGATAATGTTGGGGGCGCAGATCATAATGAAGCATACTTTTCGAAGACATTATTCCAACGTATAAGCCCGTTTCCGATGGACAGAGGCATTAAAGAAACTCCAGTCTGTCATAAATATACCTAATAACCATACAATAACGTCACTAATGCATAAACATCAGGCGATTGGAATAGAACCGCGTTAACACAGGTAACTCTGATTCTCGGTTTACTAACGTGTTTTATTCATTTTATTCACAGAAAGCACTAGTTGTATACATTTCATAGTACAATATCGGAATTTCCTAAAATTCCTAGGAAATGTACACATTTCCCAGGATATGTGGTTATCATTTAGATTTCCTAAATAGCCTGAAGGTACTCATTAAATAGTGAATTAGAAGTGTCAACCGCATTTTAAGGTGCATGTCATTTCTGTTATGACTGGATTTACACAAGTGTTTTTTTTTAAGCGTAATATTATACTGATATACTGAACGAATAGTTGCTTGGTGCGTGCTTTTTGTGAAACACCAAATCGTCGAATGAACTCTGCTTTGATGGGCTGTATGGATCTTTCTCCGGACGGTTGACGATGATGTCACGTACTTCTGCGGCATATCAAGGATCAAGATTACCAAGTACATACCCAAATTTGGTAGCTTCCGAAGTGATCGCATAGGCATCGAAACTGCGAACTGCCCCTTCCAGTGTCAGGCAAAATTATAGGTAGGAATAAAGTAGCTTATTATAGTGTAGACTCTTGTTCATTAAACATACTTTTTTTACGGTACCTGTCAAAAGTCCAAAAGTTTTGTTCCATCATGAATAGTAGTGCGAGTTCAAAACAAGAGTTAAACTTTTAATGAGCCTTTAACATGTCTTTAAATATAAACAAACATCTTTTTATTTATTATTTTCAATAGTAATTGGCAACCAATAATAGAACATTTTAGTCGATAAAATGGCCAACTTTTCCGTGCAGTACTGTACGAATTATACGCTTCTCACCGGTTGAGAGTTTGACCGAGAGTCGTCTACTTTCTTTTCTCGTCTAGTGCTGTTCTTTTCTTTGCGCAGGCCATACTGAAGGTCACACCGGTAGAGAAAGTAAACGAAGTGTACCAATCATATTGCGCAGGTAAGTTACTTTGCTGCAGTGTGTTTGAACAAGTGGAAGAAACTAATTTTTACAGAAATGAAGCCTATTTTAACTAGATCAATTTTTCGCTCTCGTAACCCCTTTGTTGTTAATTTCATCGAAATTTTTGGTGCTGTATTCAAAAACAAATAAACAAAGGGATATATAAATATTGCTCGATAATAGTATAGGATATACGAATGTGCACAGTTCAGTAAAGCACAGCTAGATAAATATAAATGTTATATTAGACAGTTTGCTCATTGAACTACAATGTCCATAGCACTACAGCAGCGGATACTAATAAGAGTAAGAAAGACAAAGGCGGTATTATAATACGCAAGCTGCCTCCATTCGATTCACCATATGTAGGGGCCTGAGTAGTTGAACCACCATTGGTTGAAACAGTTGCACTGGTAGTAGTAACGACCCTTGTTGCAACAACTTGTTTGAAATATTCTCCAGATGATTTTATCGTTCGGGGACGTGCAGGGTCGGACACGTTCACGTAATAGAGTCCGAAACGATTCCTGAAATGTCAAACTCGATAAGTTCATAATACATTAGAATGTAATGTATTATTATTTAAAGAATTCGTGTGCGTCATCAACATGGTCTAAACGAAACAATTTGGTCGATACTGCCTGAGGAGTAGATAGATAAAACATTTTTTGAAAACATTCATAANAGTAAATTCCACAACAATCCAAAGCAAACTGAACAACCTGTTAGAAACTACGACATTATGTGTATTTATTCCAGTCACTTCCAGCAGTGTAATTATACGAGGTTATATCAATATTTAGCTTTTTACATTTAATGAAAAACATGGTCTAAACGAAACAATTTGGTCGATACTGCCTGAGGAGTAGATAGATAAAACATTTTTTGAAAACATTCATAATAATTTTCAACCTACAAGGCTATCTTCAGAAGAAGGGCCGAAAAAAACGTTCTCTACAAGCATCAGCATCATGAAACTTTCATATGATAAAAGCTGACCGTTTCATCATGTTTCCAAGAGCAGCAGATAGACGGGTACACAATCGTTACTCGAAATATTGAAAGCTGACTGTTTAACTAACTAACACTGGGAATGTACCGAGCGTCATGGTCTAGAGGTTTAGACCATTGCTTAGCATTGGGAAGGACGCCGGGTCGATTCCGGGTGCGTCTGCCTTGGTCCAAATTTTTCTTGGATCACTTAGGCAAATGCTGGGGCAGTAACATTCCACAGATAATCTTTCATTCTAGTCTGTCTTGATTTCGTTCATCTCATCTTTCTCACCCGAACCACCACCTACCCTTTCCCACGGGAGGCTGAAAAGGGCCTTCCGCCCAACCTTCCGGCACAGTCCGGAGAGTCTGCCCGCTCACCAGCATTACTGGCTGGTGGAAATAAAACACCCAAAAGTTTATTTTTGTTTTTTTAGAATGTGCATAATTGATAATCGCGATAATGGTATTTTTAAATAACCAAACATATTTTTTTTTTAAATTTTCGTATTGAAATCCTGCCTGTGTAAAATACCTAATGGGAAAGCTGTACTTACACGAAACCGTCAAGCCATTCGAAATTATCCATCAAACTCCACGCTGTATAACCTTTTATATTTGCTCCGTTACTTAAAGCATCAAGGACAGCGCTCAGATACAACTGTAATAAATAAATAAATAAATAAATAAATTTTTGGGTGGATAGTTTGATATATCAAATTTATATATACCATTTGTTATGTGCTGACAAATATCAACAAAGAACTGGTATATTCGCGAGTCTTTGTCAGTATAAAGTAGTTTGGCCCTCTCGCAGAATTTTGTATTAATATAAATATAATGAAAGTTGTATTGTTACGCTCAGTTTAGAAACGGAACCTACACCATACATGTCACGTCGGTAATTTGTTAATTATTTATTTTAGTTATCTGATTATAATGCATTTTGATAATTTTGGCGTGACTGGGGGTAAGGTATTAAGATGATAAGAAGAAAAAGAAATTTTGCCCGTGTCATTCCGAATTGTCAGGTGACCCCCTGGTTAGCTCGCCTACATGTATCGCTGGCTGTATTTCTTTTTAACAGCGGTTTTGAAAATAAAATCAATTCCATGGAAGTTTAAACTGCTGATGTATTCTTTCTCTATATTATGTTTTTTATTATTATCTTCTGGACGTTGCAGTTCTTCTCATATTGTTGGACGTTGGTCCAGTATTGTAGTCAGTAGAAGGATGTTCGTTGGAAGAAAGTCTGCCAACTTGCTTCACGGTTGTTTTTTTTCAAAATCATCTAATTGTGGTCGATTTTCCAAATTGTTTAGTATGGGAATAACTGTACGCGAAGTGAGCAGCTCAATCATTTTTCTTTCCATCCGCGATCACACATAGCTGATGAAGTGGTATCCTTTTCCGACAAGGGTTGGATTTGGTGTCTCTTTCAGGCCAGAAGTTTGATTTGCTCTTCCATTTTGTTGGTTTTGGTCAAGCAATTATTTGGTTATTGTGGATACATTAGTGATTTGTGGGATGTTTATTTGTTGGTGTTTGTGGGCCGCTGGGTGTCTTTTGAAGATTTTTTTTTTTCGTCTATGCAAATAAAGGCAAAGTGTTGAGTGCTCTAAGGTGTGCAGCTTAAAGTAATGGATCTGTCCTTTCATCGGTGATGTCTTGGTTTGGATTTTAAATGGGGTGTTCTCCCTCGAACTGCATGAAATTTGGAAGCTGTGTAGTGTCTCATGAATGATTCGTCGCGTTACATACAAAAAGAAAAAAAGTGTATTTACCTGTTTTTAATTTAGCTTAATATCTATATATAGGCTAATTCTAATATTTAATTGCCCCAATTTTAATAGTAATATTGCCCTTAGAATATAAGATATAGAATATATGTGACTGTCTTTACTTATTTATGTTTTATCATTAATATTACTATCATACACTTTTATATAATTTCTTCCACATTTGTTGTATGGTGTCTTTATNGGTTTAATAATATAATTAATTTACAATGTTTTCATAGATATCGATTTGCTTCTTTAATGCTTATTTACTATTAAAAAATTAAGATTAATCATAAAATTTTATGATTAATATGATTATAATAATATTATCCGTTCCAATTACAGCAGCAGTGAAAATGAGTGAGTCAGTATAGAGAGACAGAAGAGAATGTGCGCATATTTTGCATTTCAAGATAGCATAGGTGATCAGTAATTTGTTGCAATTATGTCGAGTAATTGCGATAATCAAATGATCGACTATTTATCATTCGCATTATCCCATTTTTAGATTTATGCATACGTATAACTGTACAGTACCTACAATGTAGCCTCTAGATATTTATAAGATATTTTTGTTTGAATATTAACCTACCACTTTCATTCCATGCTCCTTCAACTTGATACGCAGAAGTCCCTACACCAAATAAAAAGTCATCAGGAAATGAATTTGTGTTAAGTTGTTGTGCATGAGTTCTAGAAGAGAAAAACAGCATTTTATTAGTAGAAACTTGTCGGAAAATAGATACAATATAAATTGAAGCCAAGCTTTATTATTCTCTTCTATGGTTCCATGCTTGCACTGAATAATTACTTTTTTGCACACCACCGGCTATATACATCACTGACCGGCAAAAAATCGAAGTTATTTTGTACCGGTGACCAATCGGCTGTTTATATTAGTGTCATCCAATGTAGACGGAGCTTCACTCCATATTTGAAGTATTTTGATGCATTTTGAAGAATGAATTGTGTAAAGTAAATCGCACTAATTTATTTGGTGTGCAAGCGAAAAAGATACAAAAAGCATTAACAAGTGTGGATTTATCAACTGGTATCAAGAACCAAAATTTTTTAATTACATTAGGATGAAAGTATGTTCCACATCCCTGCACATGTACTTTTAATTTTATTTGTCTTAAAATGTCATTAGTCTTTTGCGATATGTTAGTCTGTGTGACAGTAAAATCGTCGTTCGTGTAATAACAAAAAATATATTTGCACCAGTTAATTTAGTAACTGGAAGCAGTAGCGTATCGTGGGGGGAGCAAAAGGGGTCATGGGGCTAGTATTAGATAGCATCAGGTTCGCCGCACAGTAATGCTAGATATTTCAATTTCTTGGTAATTGTACCAGTTAATAGTAATTTACTAATTACCATCTTGGGTGGCAAACATACCAAGATTTTTGTATCTATTGATAAAAATGTTTGACAATATAAAAAAGCTGAAGGTCAAATGGTCGGACCCTATCAGTTCACTTTATGATAGAGACGTAGACCGTTATTATAGTTCAAGCTCCCATAGCACAAATATATATGTCGTAGAATACCTACGATTATAAAAGCTGAAATAACAATCCCAGAAAGACATAACAAAAAGCAGTAGCATGAGTCGTCTGGTGTACTATACATTTTCCCTATATAAATATCATCAGCAAAATGATGCAGAATCCTAGGTCATTGAAATTCATTGCAAAGGTATACGGAAAGAATAGGTCGATCTACTGAAGATCCGGTATCATCTGTTTGAAGAACCGAAATCTTTACAAATTTTAAATCTCTTTAAGGGCTACATTAAAAATATCAGTTCTTTGTACACTTTTTCACTGCAATCCCGACCAATTTAAATAAAAGGTCATACATAATTTTCTGGTCACAGCTACTTTTTAATCTATTCCTCGAAGACGCCATCAACATCATTAGTATTAGCATCTAGCAAGGAGTTAGAGATTGGATGCGATATTGACAAAACAGTATTGTACGATAATAAATAAAAAAACAAAAATACTGGTATGCAAACGAAGAAAAAGTAAGGAAAGAGCGAATATAAAGATAGGAGACGAAAAATTAGAAGAAGTTGCTGATTTTAGATATCTAGGAAGTCAGATAAGTCAGAATGGAAGGAGTAGTAGGAATATAATGCACAGGATAGCGCATGGTAGAGTCGCCTTCAATAAAAAAAAGTCACTTCTGTGGTCCCGAACGATTAACTTAGAGATTCGAAAAAGGTTGTTAAAGGTGTATGTTTGGAGCGCGGCACTGTACGGGTGCGAAACATGGATGGTGGGCGCGACGGAAAAGAAAAGCCTAGAAGCGTTCGAAATGTGGTGTTGCAGGAGAATGATGAGGATACCGTGAATAGAGAAGGTTATAAATGAAGAAGTATCAGCAAGAATAGTTGAACAGATGGAAATCAGTAAGAAATAGGCGAAATAGGTTGGTAGGACACCTTCTCAGGCATGAAGGTCTAAAGAGAGACATATTAGAGGCAGAAACGAAAGTAAGGAGGGGCAGAGGTGGACCTAGATTAGATTACTGTTCGCAAATAGTTAAGGATGTGGGTTGTTCTAGTTTTAGGGAAATGCAAAGATTAGCTCAGGATAGGCAGGAGTGGAGGTGCGTGTCCAGCCAATCTTAGGGCTGACGACCTTATGACGATGATGAATTGTAAAAGTAGGAAGAGCGGCCAATTTAGGCTTCGTCCTGGGTAGCAGATATTCACAACAGTAAATGGACTAAGTACGGCTATATAGGTGCGTCCGCATCAGAAGTGTCCAGGAAACCTTTTAGCATTTGTGACGCCCATTAATTTGATAGCGCACACATACTATGCAATGAATTTTGAAATAAAGTGCAAAAGGACTTTTTTGAACTACTGGGGTGCATTCAATATACCCTAGTTGTTTCTGCCTTTCATGCTGAAGTCGGTGATCATAATGTATGCCTTTTCTCTTCTTCTAAACACTGGCGGGACTCTACCGATACCGGACGTATCAATCCGACATTTATGGATAAATATGACCCCTGGATCACACGTAATTGCTTAATATATCATTGACTGAATTAAAGTTTTCTGGATGAATGTTCAATTGATTTATGTGCTAGGAAGCAAATAAGCAAAATAAGTGTCAGATATTTTTATTTGACAAGGTAATCATATTTCTAAGGGCCTTTTTAAGCATTGTGAAATACCACAAATATTACATTCGAAATGCATTTTTATTGAAATGTGAAATTAATAATTTTAATGANGGCGTGACAAGCCACAAAAACACTACGGGGACGGTACAGGGCAGGTGGCATTCGGACGCCTTGTAGGCCCTGCACAAACGCGGGAAGGTGATGTGGGGAAAGAGCCGCCCCTCCATCTAAATGTCGAAAGTGAGGCTTTCTGCACCCTTGTCAAAGTAAAGGCGAAAAGCATTGTAGATCGGGCCAGTCAAGAAGCTGAAAGGTGTTCTAAGATAGCGTGCACACAGCAAAACGGTTCACCCAGCGTAAGAGGACTTGATGGTGACCGAAGTGCCTATGCCGATTACTTCGGTATCGGGGGGTTCCCAGAAGTATACCTTCAGCTCCTCCGCTGCTAATTGGCTTCCTACTTAAAAGGGCACTTGGATGATAGCCCGCATGCTCCGTTAGAGGGTTATGCAGTGGGGTGCCCTGTTCTTTGCGTTGTCCCCGCGTTGAACGCTTTAGAGTTTAGATAGGCCCGAACCTGGGGATTACTTGCCTCGTTAATCCTCAGGCATCTTGGCGGTTTCCTGGGACCAATCCGTCCCGACAGAGGAAAAACCCCAAGGTGCAGCTGTGCAGGCAAATGCGGATGCAGTAATATTCCACAGATAATCTTTCTTTCCCTTCCGTCATCATTTCGTCCGTCTCATCTTTCTCACCCGATCCACCACCCACCCATTCCCACGATTCCTGAAAGCAGGCTGAAGAGGGCCTTCCGCCCTACCTTCCAGCGTAGTCAGGAGGGACTGCCCGCATTGCTGGCTGGTGGGAATGAAACACCCAAAAATTTAGAAAGTTTTGCCGATCATTCATTTACATTCTTTAGCGGTGAACCCCCTTCCAATGTTTTGGATGCGCGCTGACAAAATCATAGGTAGGGAGAAAAAAGCTCATTATACTCTCGACTCTTGTTCATTAAACATACTNACGCCATCAACATCATTAGTATTAGCATCTAGCAAGGAGTTAGAGATTGGATGCGATATTGACAAAACAGTATTGTACGATAATAAATAAAAAAACAAAAATACTGGTATGCAAACGAAGAAAAAGTAAGGAAAGAGCGAATATAAAGATAGGAGACGAAAAATTAGAAGAAGTTGCTGATTTTAGATATCTAGGAAGTCAGATAAGTCAGAATGGAAGGAGTAGTAGGAATATAATGCACAGGATAGCGCATGGTAGAGTCGCCTTCAATAAAAAAAAGTCACTTCTGTGGTCCCGAACGATTAACTTAGAGATTCGAAAAAGGTTGTTAAAGGTGTATGTTTGGAGCGCGGCACTGTACGGGTGCGAAACATGGATGGTGGGCGCGACGGAAAAGAAAAGCCTAGAAGCGTTCGAAATGTGGTGTTGCAGGAGAATGATGAGGATACCGTGAATAGAGAAGGTTATAAATGAAGAAGTATCAGCAAGAATAGTTGAACAGATGGAAATCAGTAAGAAATAGGCGAAATAGGTTGGTAGGACACCTTCTCAGGCATGAAGGTCTAAAGAGAGACATATTAGAGGCAGAAACGAAAGTAAGGAGGGGCAGAGGTGGACCTAGATTAGATTACTGTTCGCAAATAGTTAAGGATGTGGGTTGTTCTAGTTTTAGGGAAATGCAAAGATTAGCTCAGGATAGGCAGGAGTGGAGGTGCGTGTCCAGCCAATCTTAGGGCTGACGACCTTATGACGATGATGAATTGTAAAAGTAGGAAGAGCGGCCAATTTAGGCTTCGTCCTGGGTAGCAGATATTCACAACAGTAAATGGACTAAGTACGGCTATATAGGTGCGTCCGCATCAGAAGTGTCCAGGAAACCTTTTAGCATTTGTGACGCCCATTAATTTGATAGCGCACACATACTATGCAATGAATTTTGAAATAAAGTGCAAAAGGACTTTTTTGAACTACTGGGGTGCATTCAATATACCCTAGTTGTTTCTGCCTTTCATGCTGAAGTCGGTGATCATAATGTATGCCTTTTCTCTTCTTCTAAACACTGGCGGGACTCTACCGATACCGGACGTATCAATCCGACATTTATGGATAAATATGACCCCTGGATCACACGTAATTGCTTAATATATCATTGACTGAATTAAAGTTTTCTGGATGAATGTTCAATTGATTTATGTGCTAGGAAGCAAATAAGCAAAATAAGTGTCAGATATTTTTATTTGACAAGGTAATCATATTTCTAAGGGCCTTTTTAAGCATTGTGAAATACCACAAATATTACATTCGAAATGCATTTTTATTGAAATGTGAAATTAATAATTTTAATGAATGTAGAAAAAAAAGAAAGAATTAAATTAACAACTCACTATATTGTAATATCTGTAATTATGTAATATGAAAATGAACTTACAACTTTAATATTGTTACTAACAACACAATAATTTCTACTGCTTGCATTTTGTAGCACTGGCAACTCTCTAGTAGTTGCCTTAATGCGGCTTTGCATTTATATGGTTGTTAACTATAAGAGGAAGCGATGAAAAATATTTACCTCATTTTGAAAATGTTTTTATCTTCGTTTGTTGTTGTTTCATTGCGTAATGGCAATTGACAGTTTTGATAAGATCAGCCCCAGGATAAGCTTTGAAATTTAAATATTCTGGAAAGCAAATGGTTTAAATGTTGTCAGTGCTGCAATTATTGTTAACGGAAGAGTTTGTCTGGTATGTCATTTGCCCTTTTTACAATTTCAACTGTTTGGTAATTATTACTATTTTTTTGGCTTTCTTGCTAGTGGGAACTCCTGGTAGCTCTCATTGTTACCTACGAGTCTTATCACATGCTTATTCCATTTTATCCTGTATACAAAGGATTACATATTGTGTACGCTTGCGCATAAATTTTTAGGATTGGTGTAAACCATCCATACGAACACGCAGACGTATATTTAAATGTAAACTCACCGTACAATGTTGTCCAGATATTTAAAACTTCAACCCATAGCAATCGGGAGGACCCCGCATCTATTCTGGGCCTTCCGAGATCTAAGTATTGTTATGACTTGATGGACACAGATAATACAAATAATTCACTAGTTGTTTAGTATATTCCTCGCTGATCGGCAACCACTTGTTCCAACAATTCTTAGAGTATATGTGGAAGGAACAGCCAAACCTGTCAGCATTAATTAGTGGTTGGTTTGAACGAAGCACGCACAATGGGTTTTGATCTACAAAGCGATTTAATTGCTGAGATATTAAAATTTAGCGAAGTATATATTCACGGGAAGATGTTCAATCAAAATTTTAACCGGTCAGGAGCGTATAATCCGTACAGTACTTCTCTACTACAATCCACGCGAACACGTAAAGGCGCCGAGCACTGTTGTTCAGAGGTTTACATCAACGCATAACATTCGGGAAGGCGCCGCATCTATTCTGGACTTTCCGAGAACTAAGTACCTATTGTAATAGCTTGATGGAAACTTAGATTATACAGATACTTTTCTTGATGTTTAATTTTGCCTTTTTAGTAATTTACTATAGTCCTGGCTGATCGTCAACCACTTATTATTCCAACAATTCCTGGAGCATACGTGGAAGGAACAGTCAAACATGTCAGCATTAATTAATGGTGGGTTTGAACGAAGTACGCACAACGGGTTTTGATCTACAAACCGATTTAATTGCTGTCATTATCTCTAGGAAGCCTGAATAAGGATCAAGTACCGCCAGTAAGTGGTATGTTACTGGAGATGTATGAAATCTGTTATTCTATACAATTCCTACGAAATGTATAGAATTCCTAAAATCGCCGGGAAATGTGTGAAATAAATTATATTAGACACATTTCCTAGGAAATCTATACATTTCCTGAATAGCAATCGGAAATGTATTACAGGTAATACTAAATAGGCAATTATATGGCAGGCTGTTTGGAGATGTACCTATATCAATTGGTGACGTCATTGTTTGGTTAGGGAGATTTATGACAAACTGGAGTTTTTTTAGTGCCCGGGCTGATATGTTAGATGTTAGAATAATATGACGAGGTTATGTTTGTTTCAGCAAACACGATGGCCTTCAATTTTTAGTATGTTGTAGAAGTGAAAATGCTGACCATTTTCATATATATATATGTTTGGCGCGAAGATCATAATGAAGCATACTATTTGAAGACATTATTCCATCATATCAACCCGTCTCCAGCAGGCAGAGATATTACAGAAACTCCATTCTGTCATAAATCCACCTAATAACCATGCAATAACGTCACTAATGCATATACATCTCCAAACCTAACCTAAGCAAACAATAGCGTCACTAATGCATGTATATTAGGCGATCTCACTAGAACCGTGTAAACACAGGTAACTCTGATTCTCAGTTTACTAACGTGTTTTATTCACATAAACACTAGTTTTATACATTACATAGTAGAATATCGGAATTTCCTAAAATTCCTAGGAAATGTACACATTTCCCAGGATATGTGAGTATCAAAGAATCTTTGAAACAATATTTTACAGAATTCTTAAAGAACTTCGGAATTGTATACATTTCCTAGTAATTGTATACCTTTCAGGCTTAGAACGAGAAGTGTATTTTCTATTCTTTCGCAGAAAGTTATTCGCCTTACAAAAGCGTATAGGGCGCTAACAGTATGAGACTATAAATTTTTACACAAATTAACACGCATGCATATTGTAAATATCCCAGAGGAATGTACAGAATTTCGATGAAGCCACTCATAAAATGGTTAATTGGAAATGTCAACTGCATTTTAAAAAAGCTCAAGATACATGTCATATCTGTTATGATTGGACTTACACAAGTGTTTTTTTTTTTAAGCGTAAACATTTATGTAATATTATACTGATATACTGATTACAACAATAACAGTATGTTACGCAGCAATTTTTGAATTAGCTGTTTAAAATGCTCTTCGTTTGACATTATATCATATAGAGGCAATTGAGTAGTTGATCCAATTAATCTGTTACTAAGAAAACTACCAACAATAGCTCTAGCAGTGCACATCTTAACTTTCGCTTGGTCATACAGTCGGTATAGAACATACATACATACTACTCACTACCCGACGAAACCAAAATCTGGCGAAACAGTTTCTGTTTATCTTCATCATTGTAGGGTTCTCAGTCCTAAAATTTAGCATTTCCCCAAAACTTTAACCTTAACAATTTGTGAACAGTAATCTAATCTAGGTCTACCTCTACCCCTCCTAACTCCCATTACTGTCTCCAATATGTCTCTGACTAGACCTTCATGCCTGAGAAGGTGTCCTACCAACTTATCTCACCTACTTCTTATTGACTTCAATATTCATCTGTTCTTCTATTCCTTCTAATACCTTTTCATTTCTAACCTTCTCTATCCACGGTATCCTCATCATTTGCCTGTAAGACCACATTTCGATCGCTTCTAACCTTTTCTTTTCCGCCGCGCCCACCGTCCATGTTTCGCACCCGTACAGCGCCGCTCTCCAAACATACACCTTTAACAATCTTTTTCGAATTTCTAAATTAGCCGTTTGCGAGCATAGAGGTGACTTCTCTTTATTCAAGGCGGCTCGACCCTGCTGTTTATAAACAAAATAAATAAATTTATCAATAATATGTAAAAGGTGTTCCCGATTTTATACATACTACGAATTTTCGTCATGTAAGGGCGATGTATGGGCTACGGGATACTACAGCCACCAAAAGTATACATTGGAAAGATGGAGGCTAACATAAGATAGGGGTTAACATAGCTTACGACGAAATTCAGTTAACTTAGAGGACGCATAGACGTCATTCACAATACAACCATGGCTATATTTTTGACTTATTCGGTTAACACTAAATTACGTGCCAGTTAAATAAATTGTTGCTTTTATTCGTTTTCTGGAGATATTTCGTAATTTTATTACTAAGGGTGCTGTTTTGTCGCTGTGTGTAGTTTCGTCTTGTGATAACAAAAGAAAGCTAATGTAAAAAATTCAGCATCTATCAAGAAGATCGCTGCCTTTTATAATTAAATCAGTATATGCGTTTTGTATTTAAACGTATTAATTAAAGGATTAATTAGAAAACTTCTGTTTTACAAATAATTGTTTCGCTTCTGTCTATTTCGAACTCTGTTCTAATTCCGTATTTCTTTTATATCTATATCGACTAAAGGTTCCTATTTACTCTTATTTAACTATTTGCTGTCCAATTATTACTTTTATTATTAATTAGTTATCAGTTCACCGCTATATGAAAACTGTGTCGCTTCTTCGCTCTGTATCACCTCGAACTCGTACTACTCCACTCGATCTCACAACTATTTATAGAGGCTGGCCGTGTTCTAGAATGATCCAGTACATGCCGTCTAGAAACATGGTCTTCTTTGTCACTATGTATGTTGGGTTACCTACAGACATGTGATGATATTTTTATATTTTATCAATTTTGACTTGATTAAGATTTTCAGTGTTTCGTATAGCATTGTGGATATAAAATCATTACTTTTTGGTTAATGTTCTATCTATCAGAATATTGAGTAACCTGCGTACAATTGAAGAGCATCGATGATAAAATCAAAGGTAGTTGCCGTCGATGACCTTCGCAGAAGGTGACCATTGGGACCAAATCGGCCTATTATGGTTTGCAAAAAAACATTCAAGAGATATTATAATTGACTACCTTGTATGCATTTAAAATTATGGAAATTTCCAATAAAATAGGTTAAATAATGATAAGTAAATCTTTCTCTAATGACTAAAAAAATATGAAAAATAAACTGAAACACATATGCAAAACGGTGACTGAAGACTAGTACATTAGACTGAAAACAGAACTCAATTTCTTCTTCTTGTCAGNCAGCCAAAAGAACACTTTCTTAAAATATACAATCAGAAAAAAATAAAAGTCAGTTTGGATAAAATAAGAGGTTTCAGTATTAAATCGAAAACTTACATTGAATTGCTTTGCTATCTCTGCGGCTGCAATATCTTCTGGTGATGTTGTGTTGGGCTCGAACCAATTTGATAAAGCAGTTATTCCAACGACACCTAAAATGTTATAAACACATTTAGTTGTAAATAATCGTCAATTTATCATTTCTAGAAGTGATTCATGTAGATGTAGGTAAGATAACCAAAAGGCTGTTACCTCAACAGTAAAATAAGGAAAGGGCAAGACCTCTTTGGACATTTATCTTTCTATAGTTCATGTACCTACTTTAATGAAATAGAATGAAAATTTGTCAAACAACAAATATCATTGTCCCGTATTTGACGTTGGCGGATATAATGGCACGAAAGTCCTAAAATTGGCCTGACATGAAAAAATTCATACCTTGTTGGGTACTCCTGTATCTTTCATCATAAATATGATAAGCTTTTGCATGAGCTTTCAATGCAGTGTAGGAGCAAAGATACTCCCCAATTCCTGGTTCTTCCACGTGTGGGGCGTGGTTAGAGCTACCATAACCAGTACAAAACGATTGTGGCTCATTGAGCGTTATCCAATATTTAACCCTGTCTCCGAATTGCTCAAACGCAACTTGGGCATAGTCTGCGAAATAATCGGCTATGATTGGGTTTGCCCAACCGCCCAATTTTTGTAATTCACTTGGTAAATCCCAATGGTAGATGGTAACCATTGGAATTATATTGGCAGCTAGGAGGGCATCAATGAGATTGTTGTAATATTGTAGACCCGTCTCACTGATAACGTTCGAAAACGAATTGGGTAGTAAACGAGTCCACGAGATAGAAAAACGATAAAAATCAACGCCTAAATTTCTCAAAAGTGCTATATCATCATCCATGTGATGATATGAATCGCAGACTACATCTCCGTTACTTCTATCAATAATTAACTCAGGAGAGTTGTGAGTAAGTTGGTCCCAAATGTTTTCACTCTTGTCTAAAAAGTAAGTAATCTATGAAATTTAATTGCTTTAAAAAAGAAAAACGAAGGAAATAACAAAAAAATCATAGTACGTTAATACGTACAAAAGCAGATTGAATATTGACAATAAGTTATTTTAGTCCTTTAGACATAGCATTATTAAAATCCATGCTCTAAAGGTTTAATAATATAATTAATTTACAATGTTTTCATAGATATCGATTTGCTTCTTTAATGCTTATTTACATTTAAAAAATTAAGATTGATCATAAAATTTTATGATTAATATGATTATGATAATCATACAAAATAAACGAAACCAACCATTTAATGTAGGATTATTATCTTTCACGTTTATCCGCCCCGATTTACAGCAGCAGTAAAAGTGAGTGAGTCAGTATAGAGAAACAGGAAAAACTCGAAAGAATGTGCGCATATTTTGCATTTCAAGATGGCATAGATAATCAGTAAATTGTTCGAGATATGTTGAGTAATTGTAATAATCAATTGATCAACTATTTATCATTCGAATGATCTCATCCCTAGATTTATATATACGTATAACTGTACAGTACCTATGTAAACTCTAGATAATTTTAAGATATTTTTGTTTGAATATTAACCTACCACTTTCGTTCCATGCTCCTTCAACTTGATACGCAGAAGTCCCTACACCAAATAAAAAGTCATCAGGAAACGAATTTGTGTTAAGTTGTTGTGCATGAGAACTGGAAGAGAAAAACTGCACTTTATTAGTAGAAACTTGGCAGAAAGCCGTTAGTATAATCCAAGCTCCTACACCACAAAAATGTAGAATACCTACGATTATAAAAGCAGAAATCGTAACAATCTTAGAAAAACATACCAAAATGCAGAAGCGTGAATTGTCTGGTGTACTATACATTTCGCCTATATAAATATCATCAACAAAATGATGCAGAATCCTGGGTTATTTAAACTCATTGCAAAGGTACGGAAAGAATACGGCAATATACTAAAGATCGGAAAGAATACGGCAGTATACTAAAGATNGGTTGGTAGGACACCTTCTCAGGCATGAAGGTCTAAAGAGAGACATATTAGAGGCAGAAACGAAAGTAAGGAGGGGCAGAGGTGGACCTAGATTAGATTACTGTTCGCAAATAGTTAAGGATGTGGGTTGTTCTAGTTTTAGGGAAATGCAAAGATTAGCTCAGGATAGGCAGGAGTGGAGGTGCGTGTCCAGCCAATCTTAGGGCTGACGACCTTATGACGATGATGAATTGTAAAAGTAGGAAGAGCGGCCAATTTAGGCTTCGTCCTGGGTAGCAGATATTCACAACAGTAAATGGACTAAGTACGGCTATATAGGTGCGTCCGCATCAGAAGTGTCCAGGAAACCTTTTAGCATTTGTGACGCCCATTAATTTGATAGCGCACACATACTATGCAATGAATTTTGAAATAAAGTGCAAAAGGACTTTTTTGAACTACTGGGGTGCATTCAATATACCCTAGTTGTTTCTGCCTTTCATGCTGAAGTCGGTGATCATAATGTATGCCTTTTCTCTTCTTCTAAACACTGGCGGGACTCTACCGATACCGGACGTATCAATCCGACATTTATGGATAAATATGACCCCTGGATCACACGTAATTGCTTAATATATCATTGACTGAATTAAAGTTTTCTGGATGAATGTTCAATTGATTTATGTGCTAGGAAGCAAATAAGCAAAATAAGTGTCAGATATTTTTATTTGACAAGGTAATCATATTTCTAAGGGCCTTTTTAAGCATTGTGAAATACCACAAATATTACATTCGAAATGCATTTTTATTGAAATGTGAAATTAATAATTTTAATGAATGTAGAAAAAAAAGAAAGAATTAAATTAACAACTCACTATATTGTAATATCTGTAATTATGTAATATGAAAATGAACTTACAACTTTAATATTGTTACTAACAACACAATAATTTCTACTGCTTGCATTTTGTAGCACTGGCAACTCTCTAGTAGTTGCCTTAATGCGGCTTTGCATTTATATGGTTGTTAACTATAAGAGGAAGCGATGAAAAATATTTACCTCATTTTGAAAATGTTTTTATCTTCGTTTGTTGTTGTTTCATTGCGTAATGGCAATTGACAGTTTTGATAAGATCAGCCCCAGGATAAGCTTTGAAATTTAAATATTCTGGAAAGCAAATGGTTTAAATGTTGTCAGTGCTGCAATTATTGTTAACGGAAGAGTTTGTCTGGTATGTCATTTGCCCTTTTTACAATTTCAACTGTTTGGTAATTATTACTATTTTTTTGGCTTTCTTGCTAGTGGGAACTCCTGGTAGCTCTCATTGTTACCTACGAGTCTTATCACATGCTTATTCCATTTTATCCTGTATACAAAGGATTACATATTGTGTACGCTTGCGCATAAATTTTTAGGATTGGTGTAAACCATCCATACGAACACGCAGACGTATATTTAAATGTAAACTCACCGTACAATGTTGTCCAGATATTTAAAACTTCAACCCATAGCAATCGGGAGGACCCCGCATCTATTCTGGGCCTTCCGAGATCTAAGTATTGTTATGACTTGATGGACACAGATAATACAAATAATTCACTAGTTGTTTAGTATATTCCTCGCTGATCGGCAACCACTTGTTCCAACAATTCTTAGAGTATATGTGGAAGGAACAGCCAAACCTGTCAGCATTAATTAGTGGTTGGTTTGAACGAAGCACGCACAATGGGTTTTGATCTACAAAGCGATTTAATTGCTGAGATATTAAAATTTAGCGAAGTATATATTCACGGGAAGATGTTCAATCAAAATTTTAACCGGTCAGGAGCGTATAATCCGTACAGTACTTCTCTACTACAATCCACGCGAACACGTAAAGGCGCCGAGCACTGTTGTTCAGAGGTTTACATCAACGCATAACATTCGGGAAGGCGCCGCATCTATTCTGGACTTTCCGAGAACTAAGTACCTATTGTAATAGCTTGATGGAAACTTAGATTATACAGATACTTTTCTTGATGTTTAATTTTGCCTTTTTAGTAATTTACTATAGTCCTGGCTGATCGTCAACCACTTATTATTCCAACAATTCCTGGAGCATACGTGGAAGGAACAGTCAAACATGTCAGCATTAATTAATGGTGGGTTTGAACGAAGTACGCACAACGGGTTTTGATCTACAAACCGATTTAATTGCTGTCATTATCTCTAGGAAGCCTGAATAAGGATCAAGTACCGCCAGTAAGTGGTATGTTACTGGAGATGTATGAAATCTGTTATTCTATACAATTCCTACGAAATGTATAGAATTCCTAAAATCGCCGGGAAATGTGTGAAATAAATTATATTAGACACATTTCCTAGGAAATCTATACATTTCCTGAATAGCAATCGGAAATGTATTACAGGTAATACTAAATAGGCAATTATATGGCAGGCTGTTTGGAGATGTACCTATATCAATTGGTGACGTCATTGTTTGGTTAGGGAGATTTATGACAAACTGGAGTTTTTTTAGTGCCCGGGCTGATATGTTAGATGTTAGAATAATATGACGAGGTTATGTTTGTTTCAGCAAACACGATGGCCTTCAATTTTTAGTATGTTGTAGAAGTGAAAATGCTGACCATTTTCATATATATATATGTTTGGCGCGAAGATCATAATGAAGCATACTATTTGAAGACATTATTCCATCATATCAACCCGTCTCCAGCAGGCAGAGATATTACAGAAACTCCATTCTGTCATAAATCCACCTAATAACCATGCAATAACGTCACTAATGCATATACATCTCCAAACCTAACCTAAGCAAACAATAGCGTCACTAATGCATGTATATTAGGCGATCTCACTAGAACCGTGTAAACACAGGTAACTCTGATTCTCAGTTTACTAACGTGTTTTATTCACATAAACACTAGTTTTATACATTACATAGTAGAATATCGGAATTTCCTAAAATTCCTAGGAAATGTACACATTTCCCAGGATATGTGAGTATCAAAGAATCTTTGAAACAATATTTTACAGAATTCTTAAAGAACTTCGGAATTGTATACATTTCCTAGTAATTGTATACCTTTCAGGCTTAGAACGAGAAGTGTATTTTCTATTCTTTCGCAGAAAGTTATTCGCCTTACAAAAGCGTATAGGGCGCTAACAGTATGAGACTATAAATTTTTACACAAATTAACACGCATGCATATTGTAAATATCCCAGAGGAATGTACAGAATTTCGATGAAGCCACTCATAAAATGGTTAATTGGAAATGTCAACTGCATTTTAAAAAAGCTCAAGATACATGTCATATCTGTTATGATTGGACTTACACAAGTGTTTTTTTTTTTAAGCGTAAACATTTATGTAATATTATACTGATATACTGATTACAACAATAACAGTATGTTACGCAGCAATTTTTGAATTAGCTGTTTAAAATGCTCTTCGTTTGACATTATATCATATAGAGGCAATTGAGTAGTTGATCCAATTAATCTGTTACTAAGAAAACTACCAACAATAGCTCTAGCAGTGCACATCTTAACTTTCGCTTGGTCATACAGTCGGTATAGAACATACATACATACTACTCACTACCCGACGAAACCAAAATCTGGCGAAACAGTTTCTGTTTATCTTCATCATTGTAGGGTTCTCAGTCCTAAAATTTAGCATTTCCCCAAAACTTTAACCTTAACAATTTGTGAACAGTAATCTAATCTAGGTCTACCTCTACCCCTCCTAACTCCCATTACTGTCTCCAATATGTCTCTGACTAGACCTTCATGCCTGAGAAGGTGTCCTACCAACTTATCTCACCTACTTCTTATTGACTTCAATATTCATCTGTTCTTCTATTCCTTCTAATACCTTTTCATTTCTAACCTTCTCTATCCACGGTATCCTCATCATTTGCCTGTAAGACCACATTTCGATCGCTTCTAACCTTTTCTTTTCCGCCGCGCCCACCGTCCATGTTTCGCACCCGTACAGCGCCGCTCTCCAAACATACACCTTTAACAATCTTTTTCGAATTTCTAAATTAGCCGTTTGCGAGCATAGAGGTGACTTCTCTTTATTCAAGGCGGCTCGACCCTGCTGTTTATAAACAAAATAAATAAATTTATCAATAATATGTAAAAGGTGTTCCCGATTTTATACATACTACGAATTTTCGTCATGTAAGGGCGATGTATGGGCTACGGGATACTACAGCCACCAAAAGTATACATTGGAAAGATGGAGGCTAACATAAGATAGGGGTTAACATAGCTTACGACGAAATTCAGTTAACTTAGAGGACGCATAGACGTCATTCACAATACAACCATGGCTATATTTTTGACTTATTCGGTTAACACTAAATTACGTGCCAGTTAAATAAATTGTTGCTTTTATTCGTTTTCTGGAGATATTTCGTAATTTTATTACTAAGGGTGCTGTTTTGTCGCTGTGTGTAGTTTCGTCTTGTGATAACAAAAGAAAGCTAATGTAAAAAATTCAGCATCTATCAAGAAGATCGCTGCCTTTTATAATTAAATCAGTATATGCGTTTTGTATTTAAACGTATTAATTAAAGGATTAATTAGAAAACTTCTGTTTTACAAATAATTGTTTCGCTTCTGTCTATTTCGAACTCTGTTCTAATTCCGTATTTCTTTTATATCTATATCGACTAAAGGTTCCTATTTACTCTTATTTAACTATTTGCTGTCCAATTATTACTTTTATTATTAATTAGTTATCAGTTCACCGCTATATGAAAACTGTGTCGCTTCTTCGCTCTGTATCACCTCGAACTCGTACTACTCCACTCGATCTCACAACTATTTATAGAGGCTGGCCGTGTTCTAGAATGATCCAGTACATGCCGTCTAGAAACATGGTCTTCTTTGTCACTATGTATGTTGGGTTACCTACAGACATGTGATGATATTTTTATATTTTATCAATTTTGACTTGATTAAGATTTTCAGTGTTTCGTATAGCATTGTGGATATAAAATCATTACTTTTTGGTTAATGTTCTATCTATCAGAATATTGAGTAACCTGCGTACAATTGAAGAGCATCGATGATAAAATCAAAGGTAGTTGCCGTCGATGACCTTCGCAGAAGGTGACCATTGGGACCAAATCGGCCTATTATGGTTTGCAAAAAAACATTCAAGAGATATTATAATTGACTACCTTGTATGCATTTAAAATTATGGAAATTTCCAATAAAATAAAATAAAATAGGGTGGATTATGATAAGCAAATCTATCTCTAACAACTAAAAAAAAATATTACAATTAAACTGAAACAATAAAGCTTGAGTTGTTTATGCTATATTAATTCATATAGTTCGATAACAATATGACCTTCAAATTCGGAATGATTAGAAACAAATAAATGAAACAGTTGTTGACAGTTTTAAGCGAGATTTATTATAAACTCGACGAAATCGTTTCGACCAAAACAGGTATATTTAGCAATGGACGGTAAGAAAAACCTCCAAAGGGTGCATTTTCCTTTAGAGAACTGGTAATAGATGGGTAATGATAGTTAAAGACTGAGTGGAATGGCTTAGAGATTAAAACAATTGCTTAGTGATGAGCACAGCAAGATCAAGATCAAGACTTCCCCAATGTTGGCATTGTCCTTGGTCTTGATCTTGCTCAGATATATTTAGTCTTAACCTTTGTCTTGGTTCTGCTGATATAGTGTTAATACTGATTTTTTTTTCAATAATTTTTCTAACCACAACTTTTTTCTATTTACCGACACAGTAATTATCTTAAATGCTGAAATTTGCTGTCATACATGCGAGATTGTGATTACTTTTAATGAAAATAGTGTCGATAGTTTTTAGGATTATGAAAATTCCACAATTTACCCCTCCTCCAACGCATAAATTGACCCTTCTTTTACCTATGAATTAACCCTTCCTCCAACGCATAAATTGGCCCTTCCTTCAACGCATAAATTGACGCTTCCTCCAACGCATAAATTGACCCTTCCTCTAACGCATAAATTGACCCTTTCTTCAACGCATAAATTGACCCTTCCTCCAACGCATAAATTGACCCTTCCTTCAGACCCTTCCTCCAACGCATAAATTGACCCTTCCTCCAACGCATAAATTGACCCTTCCTCCAACGCCTAAATTGACCCTTCCTCTAACGCATAAATTGACCCTTCCTCCAACGCATAAATTGACCCGCCAAGGGATAAATTGACCCTTCCTCCAACGCATAAATTGAAATTGACCCTTCCTCCAACGCATAAATTGACCCTTCCTCCAACGCATAAATTGACCCTTCCTCCAACGCATAAATTGACCCTTCCTCCAACGCATAATTTGACTCTTCCTCCAACGCAAAAATTGACCTTTTAGTGAATAAAACAGTACAAGGTACTTTAAAGCAGTAGAAATATTTACCTGATAATGGATTTGCTTTTATTTAAGGATTGACATTGACTGTAGGAGTGGTTCAGAAACCTTAGAAATCAAAAAAGACCTTCATCACGTTGAAGATACTCTCCTTAACGACCAACTAGATTTATGTATTATAATTCCCCTGTTAAACCCTTTTTTGTTTGAATTTGGATACTCTAACGCTACTGATGAACAAAGCAAGAGAAACACCAAGACGGTCGCAGTCTTGGTTTTGCTTATTCGACCTTGGTATTGCTCAAATACATCTAGTCTTGATATTGGTCTTGGTCTTGCGTGTTATATCTTGGTCTTGCTCATTTTATCGGATACGATTTTTTAGTGGTTCTTCCTTTAAAGTTGAAAATTTCTCTCATACATGTGATCTTCTCATGACTTTTAAAAAAAGTAGTGTCGATAGTTGAGACAGTTATGAAACCTCGAGAATTTACCCTTCTTGCAATACCTAAATTGACCCTATAGAGACAGTCTTGGTTTTGGTCTTAGATTTTCACTAAACCAAGACCAAGACTACGAGACCAAAACTAATTTTGCTTATCATTACATTGCTCAGCATTCGGGCCGACGATGCTTGAATGGAGACTAAAGAGAGAGAGGGCATTCCGTCCTACTGTCCTGCGAAGTCCGTGGGGCAGCCCGCTCACGAAAATTAGTAGTTGGTGGGAATGAAGCACCCAAGGGTTTTTAAAGTGAAACTTCTTTGGGCTCAATGGGAGTAAAATCTCAAGGCCATGAAATGACACGCTTTGCAGCGTTTTGTTTCGGTACGCTATCGTAGGCTTTGAGAATAGAAAGGTGCGCATGCAAGGTATAGAGATCGCCAAAGAAGTTTCATTTCTTTCACGTGTACTTAGTTGCACCTGTATTTAATTTTTTTTTTGTTTTTCGTTAGCTAGGAAGATAAAAGCTTGACAGACGTGGTGATGGGGTTAAAAAGTGAAATATTGAGGAATGTTACTATCTACACAATTCGAACAATTTCAACAATCTCTCTTGCAAAAGTATTTCACGATTATAAGTGTTATTTATGTTTAGGTACATATTTTCGCTAAATTCATAAACACTGATAATGAAATGCCTGATAATAAAAGAAAAATACACCGCTTAATTTGTTCGTACATTTACGTATGATCAATTTTGCTTTATATTGTTTTTTTTTTAAATTTTATTAGATAATGAAGCTCTTGAGTGCATTATGTTTTTTAACGGTAAATATTATGAGAATTCACCACACCTTGTTTTAATTATGATAAATAATCTAATAATATTCCAACATTCATAGCGATTACAGTGGATTATGTGTATGTTACTAGTTAAACCCGTTCAATGTGCCTATATATGGTACCGTTGATACGATGAAATTTGGAAAAGGCAATAAGTTATCTTTGAGAATGAGCGAATCTTCTTTCTTGTTTCAACTTGGGACCGTAATCATTTACTTCGTTTTGAACACGCCTTTGTTAGGTTAGGGAATGCTTGATGACTATTAGTAATTAAAAAAATGTCATGTTTCATATATTTAATATATATATAATTACATCAGTAAAAAATCGACGGATCTGTAACCTCATAGGCTCCGTTTGCCGTAGTTGCTGTTGTCATCTCTTGTAGCTTAGTGGTCAGAGCGTTGGTGCGTAAAGTCAAAGGTCCCGAGTTCGATTCCCGACGGGGGTGTGACTATAGCAACAAATATTTTCCCTCATTAACCTGAGATGAAAATGAATTTTCACATTAATAATGCTTCATGAGTAGTATAGACAAAGCGAAAACAAATGACCGAATAACAGTAAGTGATGCAGTGGTTACAGACTGCTTAGGTATCAGGGTCGGCTTCATAACTGCCTGGTTGAAGTTATATCTTTAAACAAGGGTCTTTGCTTTCCTAAATTCCTGAGAATGTTAAACTCTTTTCTATATTTACCTATGTCTGTTGTGAGTAAAAGTATGCGTTCTGCCTGCAACCGCTCTAGTCTATAAATAATAAAAGTTTCAATCCGGCCCACAAGATCTTTAAAAGTAATAATAAACAAATATTTCAGAAACACACATTTTAAGGTAGAATCGATTTACAGTTTAATTTTCGAACTCAGTTGATAATGCGAAGGATATTTACTTCTTGTTTGGCTTAACATATCGCTGTGAACAGCTCTTCACTAAAATGAAGTATCTAAAGTTGAAGTACAGAACTCCAATAACTGATACGAGTTTGGAAAACAACTTGCGTTTAAGCACTACACAGATTGAACCGGACAATGAAGTGCTATCAAAATCTGCCAGAAGTGGCATTAATTAGAATCAGTTTTCATTTATATTTATTTATAAATGATAAGAGAAATAAATGTAGTAAGTACATACTTAATTAAATTTACCTTATCATTGTTTTTTACTAACTAAATGT